GGGGGGGAAGGTACCTTAGGCCCGGTCTCTTTCAGAGCTTTACTGTTGTAATACTGATTCTCCAAATCCACATCAGGTTCTAGATAAACATAGATAGATAGATAGATAGATAGATAGATAGATAGATAGGAAAACACTAACAAATGGTTCCAATAAATGTCCTATTCTTTACCCTCCTTCTCTGTTCAAGGCACATGTACAGTAAGAAATAGTAATGTTCATAACAATCTACATATTTCTCCTCTCCTATCACCTATATACCTGAGTTTGAATCCTCGGAGTACTCCAAATCATAATCCTCATCGTCCGCCATAAAATCGTCCCCGTAGTCCGACATTATTCTGTAAATTTTGAATCTTGTAATAAGTCCGTCTGGCGGAGCTATTAATTAAGATATTGGTACATACTACATACAGGTGGGAATAACAATGGTTAAAGTGTTTTCAAGCTATAAATAAGAGCTTGTGCATGATGTACTTACACACCATCGAGTGCATATTATACTAAACATAACATTTGTGACAACAATTCAATATTCCAGAAAATATCATTTTAGCGAAAGTACTCGAAATTTAGCAAAATAATTTTAGGGAAGGAATGTTGAGAAATAAAAATTTGTTGGGGGGAGATTTCTTTTAATAAAATGAGTCAGCCTCTGAAATGCATAGATAAAAATAAGCCAGGGGTGGTTACTCCCGTATAAATGTACGACTTGGCGAATGACTGTTCAAAGACAGAAGAAGTCAAGATAAAGGGATTATTCATTATTTTAGTTATAAGAGAGGAAACCAAGGTTCTAAAACAATCTTTGGTTTCGATGTAATCTTTGTGTGCAATAGCTTTCTTTAACAGTTAATTCCTAATACTTGCCTTTTACCAGTTCAAATCAGGTGTCTTTAAAATCAGTGAAAATATCAAAATTCGAAAAAGTTGAAATCAACCTTCCGTGCAAATGTAATTAAAAAAAGTGAAAGTTTCTAAAAAAAATAATGATTTTTTCCTTGGTAAGATGCTTCTAGTGTTTTTTTTAATGCTTAATAGCTAAAATATATGAACAATCACTTTAAAATTGACTAGTGATGACTAAAGCTGACTAGTATACTACAATTTTGAATTATGTTTAATAATAACAATAATAATAATAAACCATCATTCCTTGGTTCTAGGTTAAGATCTGACTAGAAGTGTAGAACAGTATAGTTCTGTAAACGTAAACTACTAGCTCCAACCCAGGGAACTAGTGAATACATCTCAGCTGGAGAACAACAAAATATCAATCCATCTCCAACCTAAACATAAACAAATTTGATGAGAATAAAAAATATTGTCAAAATATGAGTGGAACTTTTTTAAATATCCTGAAGTAGAGAGCTAATTTTAAATATCCCTAGGTAGAGAGCTAGTTTTAAATATCCTGAGGTAGAGAGCTAATTTTAAATATCCCTAGGTAGAGAGCTAGTTTTAAATATCCTGAGGTAGAGAGCTAATTTTAAATGTCCTGAGGTAGAGAGCTAATTTTAAATATCCTGAGGTAGAGAGCTAATTTTGAATATCCCGAGGTAGAGAGCTAATTTTAAATATCCTGAGGTAAAGAGCTAATTTTAAATATCCTGAGGTAGAGAGCTAATTTTAAATGTCCTGAGGTAGAGAGCTAATTTTAAATATCCTGAGGTAAAGAGCTAATTTTGAATATCCCGAGGTAGAGAGCTAATTTTAAATGTCCTGAGGTTAAGAGCTAATTTTAAATATCCTGAGGTAGAGAGCTAATTTTAAATATCCTGAGGTAGAGAGCTAATTTTGAATACATCATTTTTCAAAAACAGAGTGGCGGAAGTTTTGCAAAAATAAATAAATTTTGAATGTTCAGTGCCCGAATTTAATGAATTTAAGCTGCGTCTCAAACCCCCCCAAAACCGGTTTCTATTGAGCGCCGGCTTAAATATTGAAAAATTAAATTTAAGCTGCCGCTCAAATTCTTTAAATTCGGCCTCAGATCATAACAACTTAAACATACCTCAAATCTGTTTTTGAACTTATCACCCCATCCCGTCTCATCACAGATATCTGTACATAGAACTGTACTGCGTAGTACACGTTCAAGAAAAGGATTGTTTGTACAGAAGATCCCGATAGATTTACTCTCAACACTGTCTACAATAATCTAAAACAATATGAATTAAGAATTTAAGAGACATCGAAAAATGTTGGTTTCCGGTGTACACGATGAATAATATGTAAGCCACTCCCTCTATCTTTAGTGAAACCAGACAGCTAATAGTTATTAGGTTATAATTTATTTCTTGCATATGTTCTTAAAAAATTAGGATCTTGTACTCACTGGCTATCAATAATAATGTCATTCGTTTATCGTGTAAGCAAAATATATATTTTCTGAGAAATCTGGATCATGACAAACCTTGAAAAAGTATTCAGGAACCGGGATATATTTCTTACTTCCATCCGTCCCTAGCCATATCTCCTGAAGCCCAGTCTCTCCATTTACCTGGAGAATACCCAGGGTTCCTTAACAGATCATAGATATTAATTAACAACATTGTTAAACAACAGAGACATGAAAATGAAATTCATGAGAAAACAAGGATTAGGGATTAGGGATTAGGGATTCCAATTTGATAAAAAAAAACCGAAAGTCGAAGTTTTTTTATTGACAAAAACTAGTGTTTATAGTTCGATTTTCAATTCTCTTTTCAGTTTAAATATTTGACAAGAACTGGGCTATAATTCGTTATACCTGAGAAAATTTCTAGGTCCCGGTATAATTTCTTTCCCTTGGTTCTGATAGAGTTCTCCAACCTTCTCCAGTTCCCATTGTTTATACTCTGCCATTGAGGAGCAATGTTCCCGTAGTAATAGGTTGCATCCTGCCAATCTATCCAAACCAAACCAATATTCAATATTTTGTAGTTTTTATGCTATTTCTTATTTAATGCTTTTCCCTGTGGTTAGAAAGACACTTAAATGATAATAATAAGAAGTTGTTGAACTACGTAAATCAAATGAACCACTTCTCTTCAGCTTGACGCGCACAAGAGAACTGGATGAACCAACAGAACTTGGTCTGTTCTACTTACTTGTCCAAAACCAGTGGCCAAATTTAATGAATAGTGACATATAGTTAAACCACGTAGTGTGCTTTTGGTCAAGCATAATAAAAGTGGTTGAACTGCGTCTTTGCGATTCAATCATCTCTCACTATTCATTAAATCTAGTTTCTGGACCAAAACCTAATCATAGATAATATCAACTAAGGTTTTTAACCTGGCGGTAAACAAACTGCACTTACCTGAAAATTTCGAAGAAACTATGAATAATTTAAAGTTCTAATAAATTGTCCAGAGGCCGAATTTAATTAATTTACCGCGTCTCTAAACCGCCAATCACCGGTTCAAGTTGCGCGCTTGCTCAAATCTCAAAACCCTGATTAAAATTTCAAGTTAAACCAACCATGTTTGAACCGTGTCTAGACGCGATTATTTGAATTCGGTCTCTGGTTTATTATATAAGTTTGGTTTCCTTGATATAAAAAGTCTGCGTCTGGGGCAAGATGACCCCTGGCGAGGAAACTACTGTTAAGGAGCTCTCTACTCCTGTCTTGACCCAGAATACTGGTTAGAACCTTCTCCTGGTTACGCTGAGAGTAAGTGGCACTAGCGGAGATTTTCTTATAAAATAATTTTCCTTCCTTGAAGGCAGGGCGGGTCTAGTAGTAGGGAATACATGATGACAAATCTTAAAAACGAAAGGATGAAAAGTTATCACACATCATTAAAAAAAAACTTTTTTCCCCCGCATCGAGAAAATTGTTCATTTTGCGATGGAAATGATTTCTCATGAAAATATAAATCTATCAAGTCCCTGATAAAATTATTTAGATATTATATGTACTACACAAACCATGTCAAACTTTAAAACTTTGTGTTTTCCCTTTCCTGATCAATTGAGTTAAACTGAAGCGTTGAACCTCTCAAGGTATGCTGTGTATAGTAAGTTTGCTCCGAATCAACCTCATGACAAAAGCTGAGGACGGGTTTGAAGGAGAAATCCTCCTTGTATCCAAGCTCTACTATTTCTCCGACCTGGAGCGGACCACAAGGTTCTCCTGTTCTCCGTTCCTCATTCCGTGGTGGTTTAACACATCCGAGCTGGCTCTCCCGTACTTTCGTATTTTTAACCTGGATAAGGTGAGAATATTTAGAAAAAAGCCTGTAAAAACAAAACTATTAATTGCATAGCACATCTTTATTCTTGTTTTTATTCTAAGGCTATCTCAATTAACTTACAACCCATTTGTTTAAAGGTTGAAAGGTTAAAGGTTAAAGTTAGTGAAAAAGGTTTAAAGGTTAAAGATTAAAGTTATTGAAAAACAAATGTATATTCAAAACATGCTGAAACTCAATATTTTGAAGTTTTGTGTTGTTCTAGTACTAACCTGAAGTTCTGTTCCTTTACATAATACAAGGAGGGAAGGAGAGGATGAATATATAAGAGAGGAACCAGGACAAGAGAGAAGAATAGTTTCTCCTGATACAACCCGGAGAATTCGTCCTGCATCAGGGTAGATCCAATCCCTGTTCAAACAGTCATCATTCAATAAACTTTTTCTCAGATGTTTAAAAATATAGGAGTAGAAATAACCATCTTTTTAAAATGGACCCAATTTTATAACAAACATTGTAATTTTGGACACATCAATGTATAAATCAATCAATCGGAGTTTTAGGGATTCATACAAAAAGTTTCAAAATTTACAACAAGGGGTGACCTCTAAAAACACATATATTTTTAAGAGGTCAGGAAAGATGGAAAATGTTTTAATCGCCTTTTTGCATTACAAGATGATCGGGTAGTTTGGGAATGATTGATTGTTCCTGTTTTGAGTATAAAACAAAGGTTTATGTTTCCAGTCAGAACTATCCAGTGGGATCAAACAGGATTCAGTTCCATCTCCTGGTCCGGAGCTAAACAAACAAGATTTAGTTCCATCTTCTAGTCCGGAGCTAAACAAACAAGATTCAGTTCCATCTCTTAGTCCACAGCTAAACAAACAAGATTCAGTTCCATCTCATAGTCCGGAGCTAAACAAACAAGATTCAGTTATATTTCCTAGACCGGAGCTAAACAAACAAGATTCAGTTCCATCTCCTAGTCCGGAGCTAAAAAAAACAAGATTCAGTCCATCTCCTAGTCCGGAGCTAAACAAACGAGATTCAGTTATATCTCCTAGTCCGGAGCTAAAAAACAATATTCAATTACGCCAAAAAGTCCTAGGAAGTCATTGAAAAACCATAAATTTAATCATCAATGATAAGATAAAGATAAATCTCTTTTTCTCAACTGATTGAAAAGTGTTAATTGGTTTCCTAGAAAGTGGACTATCTATTAAAGACAAGGAAGAACATGGCTGATCGCTACTAATTCCGGGAAACAGTGAGAAGTTTGGTGTCATAGTTTTGTAGAAAAGGTTTCAAAATGATTTTTCTTTAAAATAACATCCCCCCCCTCCATTTTTATAGGAATGTTCACACTGAGTGAAAAACATTTTGACAATGTTTAAAACTGAATTGATGAAAATAAACTAGTTTTGAGACTATATAAAAAGAAGTAAAAGTAGTTGAAATAGAAGTTAAAGACCCATTTTGTTCCTTTTGCTTTATCTCACATTAGACGAAAACAAATCAAATCAAAATACATATTTTGAAAAGTTTGACAAGAGAAAAAATTTACCCGCGGTTTAATAAACAAGCTTTAGTAAACTGGAAGAAGTGTGAAGCAAGAACTAGTTCAAGAACCAGGAATCGAGGCAGCAGAAACTTGTCAACGAACATGACTAACTGGATCGTCAAACTAGGTTGAAGGATAGATTGCACATGACTAGAGCGATAGATTGCCCATGACTAGGTTGAGAGCAATCAGTTAAAAAATGACAAAATATTTATCTTGTTTTGAGAATGTCTTGACTAAACGAATATAATTCCAATCATAAATATGAAGCTACTAAACAATGAATCTAAAAATTAGATGAAGTATTTAAAAAATGTAAATTTAGATATAGTTTTTAACGCTCCTGTAGTATGTGTTTATGATGAGCTTACGTTCTGAGAAATTAAAGTGGATCTTGGAATTTCTCCAGAAAAACTCCAACCTATTAGGAAACAAAAGATGTCCATTTAGATATGTACAATGTACAATGTACACAGTACACTGTGCACTGTGCACTGTACAATGTACAATGTACAATGTACAATGTACAATGTACAATGTACAATGTACAATGTACACTGTACATTATACACTGTACAATATACAATATAAAATATGCAATGTACAATGTACAATATACAATAAACATTATACAATATAAATTATTACAATGTTGAAAGCAAATGGATTCAGAATTGTTCAGGATCAAGCGTGACTAAAACTTCACTTTATTGATCTGAATTTTATAAAAAAAACCTTAAAAACAGCAATCCAATTTTATATTAAAGCTCTCGGGTTGCACAATTTAATTTAATTTATTTATTTATTGTTAACCAAATAGAAAATACAAAATATACAACTTTTTTTTGGAGTTAGGATAAAAAGGTTTTCTTAATTTAGAGTCGGAATAATCTAATCGTACGGCCAAAACAACAATCATGGAAGGATAACGTTAGATTGTTTGTGTTCCTATTTTCAAAAAGTGTATTTTAATAGGTGAACATCCCTTGAAGATACTACAATAAAAGGAAAACATTCTAAACCATTTTGTTATGAACAAAAGTTAACATTTTTAAGAAAACATCTTTTACCTGTTTCACAACTTCGAGATCGGATCTGCTTTCCCCTATAAAACCATCCTTTCTGAAGAGATTACATATATACAAACACAACAAATATAACGTTATATAAAAATATAAATGTTTAAAAATATCGATTGAGTAGATTGGACGGAATGTTCTAGATCATTTTTCAGGTAAACATGTTCAGTTTTGTAATAATTACATTTCTTGGAAAACTAAAAATAATATATACACATAATATTTATAATATTCATCATGTAAACAATTATGTTATTATAGCATTGTTTAAGTTTATATAATGGATTATATACTTTTACACTAATTGTCTAATATAATCGCAAATACGCAATAAATGACAATATGCTTTTATGTGGATTTATAAATTTGTGTTTGATTATACTTGAGGGTCACTATTATATTGAAATAATACCAAATGGTCAAGAATTTTTATAATCGCTTGACATTGTACATAGTTCATTAGTTAGCTGGAACAAGAGAACAATGGTAAAGATTTTAATGAAAAATGGCTGAGAGGAGGGGGTGAAAAAGGATTGGAAAAGAGAAAGTAAAGATAAAAAATTAATTGGATGAGAAAGCTGAAGAGGAAAAATAAATTGGATGAGAAAGCTGAAGAGGAAAAATAAATTGGATGAGAAAGCTGAAGATAAAAAATAAATTGGATGAGAAAGCTGAAGATAAAAAATAAATTGGATGAGAAAGCTGAAGAGGAAAAATAAATTGGATGAGACAAGGTAGAGATGAAAAATAAATTGGATGAGAAAGGTAGAGATGAAAAATAAATTGGATGAGAAAGGAAGAGATAAAAAAGACTGGACGAAAAAGGTAAGGACGAAAAAAAATATTGTAAGGATGAAAAAAGATTTGATTAGAAAGGAAATGGTATTAAAGAATTGGACGAGAAAGGTAGTAATGGATGAAAAAAATTGGATGAGTAAGGTCAGGGTGAAAAATGTTCGGATAAGAAAGGTATTGAACGAGAGGGGTAAGCCATAAAAAGGATTAGATGAAAAGGGCTAGGATGAAAATCAATAAATAAGGTACGTAATAAGTATATGAAGAAAATGAAATAGAAACGTTAGGATGAAAAAGGTAAGTATAAAAAGGAATTAAAAAAGAACGCGCGGTAAGGGTGAAACAGAAAAGGATGAAATAGGTAATTATATGAAAGAAATGGAATAGAAAAGTTAGGATGAAAATGAATTGTATGAAAAAGGTAAGTTTAACAAGGAAATGGATGAGAAAAAGTTAGGATGATTTCAGGAATTTTAGAATGGAGGTTTAATGAGAAGATTAAGATGAGAAGGATTGGAAAACAAATGTTAGGATAAGAAGAACTGGGAAAGAGAAAACCAGGTTCAAGGATTTAGAAGAGTTACATCTATCCTCGGTGCAAAGACAAGTTTCCTTCCTTCCTCTCCGGATACAAGGTATCCGTCCTCCCCTGTGATCCGCGTACTCCTGTACATCCTCCCATCTAGACAAATATTAATAATGAGATGAAAATAATGAAACCCAAAAAATCGAAGTTTTAATTATGTTTGGTTTGGAAACTCAACTCTCAAAGCGTTTAATCGACAGGACGGCGTAGACTATTTAAATTACCCTAACCTGGGTTGATGGCGTATACCCTTAGAGGTTTTCATTAACAATTAATTGTTGAGATATTGGTTTGGTCCCTACTTGAAATCTATACTGCAGCCTCGTGTTGTCACGTAAACCCCGTCAACAACCTCGGTCCTTTTCTCACAGAAAACAGGATTCTTCTCCCGAACCCAGCTTGCCTGGTCACAGTTCATCTAGACAGGACAACAGGGGGTTGGTTCTAGATGTCTCAACAACCATAGTTGGGAATTTTTAATTGAAAAATATGAAAAATCTCATGATCCGTAACATAAAAACCTTGTACCTGCACAAAGGGCTGATAATCGAATGGATCTAAACATCTAAAATCTCTATAGGACTCACAGATATAACAGGTTATCCCCTCCACCCTAGTACACACCTCCAGACCCAGCAGTACAAAAACAAACTGTACAAACATTCTAGCAGTACATTATAATCTTCTGAAATATAATACTATTCTTTAGTAATTCTGTTTGAATTTTCTTTGTAAACAATAAATTTTATCTTCATATACAAATTTAGTTAGGTTTTTCATCTGGCTTGCGTATTCTAGTTCCGGTTCAAGATTCCATTTCCTGTTTATCCGGAGGAAGCGTGGGACATTAGAGCTTTCTTTAGTGGACCAAGTGAGTCAGTTATCTGTAATCCCAGGGTTCTAAAACCATTGAAAATAAACTTAATTTAATTAATAAAATGAACATTGAAGATAATACAGCATTGCAAAATTTCTTAAATTTCTCCGAAGGACGGAAATGATAAGACAGAGGTGAATATTTTTCAGGATTATTTTTGATGATTTGGGAGAAAATAAATGGGACATCAAAGGCATATTTTTTTATACTTTTTATACTTTATACACAAAAATCATTTATTTTCCCCAATTCAAGCAAAAAAACTTGACAAAATTTTCCCGCTCCGAGCAAACATGCATAACATCTGAAAATTGAAGTGGGGGTGGGGAAGAAAAATGATAATTTTTTCGAGAAAATATACACCCCTGAGATAATCTACTTAATCATTCTTCTAACCTGGCGAGAACAACCGGGGTAAATGATGTTGAGTAAAGTCTGTGTAGAGAATCGATAGAAAACATGGTTGGAACATTGTGTCTCTGTCTTTCCGTTTCATATTCAGCGAGGTAGCTCCGATTACCCAACCCTGCTCCGTCTCTTATACATCCTAGATAAATATTCTTTTATTCCTCAAGATATCTCAGATTACCCAACCCTGCTCCGTCTCTTATACATCCTAGATAAATATTCTTTTATTCCTCAAGATATCTCAGATTACCCAAACAATCTTTCAAATTTCAAAAGTAGGCTCCCGAAGACTATAAAACGTTCTTTCATCATATTTTATCCGCTGACGTTAAACAGCTGACGTTAAACAGCTGACGTTAAACAGCTGACGTTAAACATCTAAACCCAAATTAAATGCAACAGATACATGTGCTGCAAAGAAAAAAAGTCATTTGCATTATGCATTTAATCTTAAAAAATAATACTAATCACAGAACACGTGATAATTCTCCGCCTACCATCTATAACTCTAGAGAGGGTCTCTACATCTCCGAAACCTAGATTAACTCCCTGTCCAGCTAATGGATGAACTCTGAAGAAAAGAACAAAATTAAAATCTAGGTTAACGGCTTGGAGTCACTAGGCTCATGAAGTTAACAGTGACTTTCCAAATTTTATCATTGAGCAATGAATGGATGATTTCCGTTTACAAAGAAATTTTATTTTCATCGTGTTTCGGTGAAATTTTCCAAATATATGAGGAATGTGGCTTATCGGGACAATAACTTTTTAAAATCACTGATTACAGAATTCTGTAAAAAAAAAGAAAATGTTATGGCTAAAAAAAGGGGGGGGGGGAAAGATTAAAATCATAGACAAATCGGTGGAGTGGTTTAAGGTTTAATTTAGTTCTATTCCTGTGAGCAGCGTCTCCGATAAGAGCCGTCCTAGCTCCAATATATCTTGTGCTATGTGAGAACCCTAGAGGGAACCCAGCTCTATTTTTTACACCTGGAAATACAAGAAAAAATAACCAACATAAATAAAACAGTGGATGTTTAAATTAGTTTAAGCTTGTTATAAGTTATTAAGAATTCCAAAACTAAATTGCAATAATAAAATTAACAAAAATTTCCAACTAATAATATCATGATACTTAAAATCAATATTCATAATATTCAAAGTGAAAATAATTTTATAAGGCGTGAAGATTCCATTGCAAGAGAATTTTATTTTGATTTCAATTTGATTTCAATAAATAGTTAAAACACGTGAAATAATGGCAAAGAAATGGAGTTTTAGTCCCAAATTATGCTATTTATATCTTTCCAACCCGATGTCGTAGACCTTTGATATTTAAAACAATGAGTTTTGTTAGATCAAATAATCAAGTTTGAGATATCAAAGGTTTACACCATCATGTTGCAAATACAAAAGGATTTAAACATTTAAGTTTGTGTGAACAACTCAGTTTCCTTCTACCTTTTATTTTCCGCGGTATTTCCCTGTGTTTTGGTTGGGTTGTAAAACTCTGAAGAACCAGGTTAAGTCCTGCTGCTGCAGAGTTAACAAAGGGGTTCTGCTGGGTGTTATCCATCAGGTTCCTTTGCAGGTCGGAGATAAACTCCTCCTCGGTCAAACCCATCTTGGATTTAGCCTGGAACAGTAGTTGTGTATATTTAGTTGAAAAATTATTTCATCCCCCTCTCTCTATTAAAGTAATTTCTCAGGGTCTTCATTGACGGAAAATAAACAAATTTTGGGGTCTAAGTGACAAAAATAGGAACAAACTTGCCAGTAGATGTACTTAATTTTCCAGTTAACCCCAAACATGTACAAAACTGAATCTCACTGAGCAATTCTTCAAAATATACAGGGAACAAGAAGAACCGTTTTGTTTCAAGGTATAACAAATGAGAGATCAAAGTTGTGAAGCTGTAAGCCCATGTACACTGTAAACTTTATGGATTATCCTTCTGCTAATTTAAAGATAAAAAAGGAACTAATTTGAGCCGTGTTGCCATATATGCACCCATCAGTTACACATTGTTTAGTGCGACAAAAAAGTTAAAGTTTAAGGGTTGGATATTGAATGATTAATAAGATTGAACCTAAACCCATCAGCTCCAATCAGTAGTTCAGTTTCCAATGTATCTCCGTTCTCCAGGTGAATAAGAACGTTTTCCTCCGGTAAACAATCCTTCCCTGGGTTCGGTAGAGTATACTTCTCCGCTCTAGCACCGTAGATCACGGTCAGGTTGGAGCAGGTTTCCAGGACTAAGTTTAGGGCAAGCTGAGTCACATCGTTTTCTACTAGATAGGAGAGAGGTGTTCCGTCAGGGTTTGAGAAGAAGATTGAGGCATCGGAGAGAGATTCCCAGACCTAAATATTTGGACCATTTTTAATTTAAGGTTTATCAGATGAAACTATGGATCAGAAAAAAATAATTATCACGTAATAAATATCGTGCGTTAATAGAATTTTAGCTACCTGCATATTATGAACCGGGTTATATCTGTGTTCAGAAATAATCTGCCAAGCTCCAATCTTATCCAAGAGTCGGATAGAGCCGGGGTTCAGTGCAGAGACGCGGTTACTGTACTGGGAACCCAGCTCTATAGGTCTAGAAATATTATCCTTGATTCTTTAAAAATTAAATAATGAATAACTTTTATATTTACAGGTTGGAGGCCAGTTACACTAGAAAAAATCTTACTTTTTTTGTGAACTCTCCAGAAGAACAATTTTCTTGTTCTTCGTAACATCTAGAAATATTCAGAGTTTAATTCAGAGTTATCAAATGATCAAAAACAAAACAAACATTTTAACAGCAGCCGAAGCTCCCACCATACCTCCACTGGCAAGGGATGCCTACCTAGTTTAGCTATAGCAGCAGCAGCCGAAGCTCCCACCATACCTCCACCAGAAATAACAATATCTGCCCTCTGATGCAACCTTCTTGCCAATATACTGAAGAAACACATTATGAACAAGTCTTTAAAATCTGAAAAAGTTTGTACGTAGATTGAAGTAAAAATTTCAAATGTTTTGTGTATTCCATACTCACCAGTCTGATAAGATTGTACTTCTGTGAACCACGCAGACCATACTGTACTCAACAGTTCGGAACATTTCTCTGGAAAAAAAGGTTTATAACACGGGATGACGTAAAGAGGAAAAAAGTGTAAAAACTAAATATTTATTCAAAGCAAATCCTGACATTTTATACATATTGCAAAATCAAATGTGTAATTAAAATCATGATATATTACAAAACAAAGTTACCGACTCCATATGTTCTTGACTTCTTTTTTCTTTGTGCTCCTCACTTTTGCTTCAGTCACATATTCCAGGAATTCATTTTATTCAAATGATGCATTTATTTATTTAAAAAAATCAATTTAATTTATTACATAAAATTTACTTTAAGAATACAGAAATAACAGGAAGTGACGTACGTGCATAAACAAGAAATGGTGGACAACAATATGTCAGCATTCAACTAATTGATACACAATTTCACACTAAAATGATATAATTCATGGATTATTGAGATAAGAATGGATATATTCATAAACAAACTCAATAAATTTCTCGAAGCTTAACTGTTTCGGTCCGGAGCGTCGGTAGATTTTCTCTAACTTGTTAGTTAACACCTGTTGAAATATATGTAAGATGGAACTTGCGTCATTGTGGATGCTGTAGAGATCGCAAACCTTTAGATTTCCCTCCATCAGAACATCGATACAGGATTGGGTTCTTAAAGATGTGTCTAAATTATTGTTGGATAAAACCTTCTGGAAAATGAAGACACGAAGCCGTTCAAATTCTCTGACCTCCTGGAAGGTAAAATTCTTCGCCAGGTTCCGGTCAGTTAAGACGGGTTTGGGCTGCGTTGGAGATTTAAACTCTTCAAGTATCTCCTCTAGAGATTTATGCCCGTTCTGCAGGAAGAACCCAACTACAAGCTTCGTGGTCTGAACAACGCTTGCCACCACTACTCGACTCTTCCCGGCCATCTGCTGTTGAAGAACTGTTCGAAGATTTAGTTCCATTTCGGACAACCCTCGCTCTTTTGCCATTTCCAAAAGCTCGTCAAAATCGAATCCTGACGAATTAGAAATGAGAAATGGTCAAAAGAAGGCAAGGAACATGATAGAATGCATATGCTCATTGAAGGATTGAAGAAATGAACAATAGTGCATATAATGTATGTCTCTTACAAAAAAAAAAATGGATGAAATGATAAAAAATGAGTTAGAAAAACTTGTCTGACCTGCTTCTAGTAAATTCTTACACATTACATGCGCAGAAACCTCAGGTTCTCGTAATTCTGGCAGGATTTCACCTTCAAACATTTGAAATTTTATTATTGAACAAAGTAAACTCTAAAAATAAAAAAGCACAATGCTCTATTATTAAGAAACTGTTTTAAAAGGAGGGACCAGCTATGTAAGGTAGTTGAACTGAGTATGCAGTGTTGTGGAAAGCTTCTTTCGGATTCATTTGAGACATATTAAACTGTTTAAAGATCTGTAAATCCTGAGTTTGAGCGCAAATTCGACGTTCAAAACTCCTACTTTGGGGGTGGATACGTTTTCAGAATTAGTTTTTTTAAATTATTAAATAACGACAACGAAAAATAAAGTAAAAATTATACAGTAGTCTAATTAGATGGTTAGGAACATATTTATCAAAAGAAATTTTTCAATAAATCAATGCTCAAATAGATTATTTCTTCAAATGTCGTCTTTTCAATAATAATTCTAGAAAATCTGCGAAATTCTTTGTGAATAATGAGAAACCAGAATACTGAGATAATAGAAACTAATAATTGAACAAGATTACTTATTTTCGATGATAAGATTAATTTTTATTTTCTCAACATGTTCCTATACATGACGTCTTTAGTTCATTGCAGAACTTTTTTACATTTATGTCGTCGTTATTTCATGATTAAAACAACTAATTCTGAAAACGTATCCACCCCCAAAGAAGGAGTTTTGAACATCACTCCCTTTAATAAAAGGGACTGAAAACATAAGTATAAATGATCCTTATTTTAATAGTTCATTGTCCGTTTCATAGCAGCACACTTTAAACATTTATCTGAGTGTCAATGTCAATGTGAAAGATATCATCGTTTTTAGTAAATTCTATCATTTCCTAAGAAATAACAACCCATAGATGAAGTTTGTCAATTAATAAATAAAAAAGGATATCTCAATCATTTTTGCGTAGACAAATATTATAAGGGTACCTTTGCAAATCGGACATTTAAAAAAAACTATCGACTGTACACTGTACAGTGTACATATAAACAAAAGATTCTGAACTAAACTAAAAAAGATTACTTCTTTCTTGCACAAGGTCCGCTCGCTGAGCCTGCAGAGTTTTTACTATGAACATACGTAGAGGTGTGAACATTTCAGACCTTTAAGAAAATGTTCTTTAATGTAAATAATACAACTGAAATTTTATTTATCTGTATTAATGTGCTGTAAATATTAGAATATAATTATTATTAAATGCTGCCGATGACTGTCAAACATGAAACATAGTGTCAAGCAATAACCAAGATTAATAAATATTTACTAGCTTGAAAACCCAGCTTTGCCAGTATATAAACTTTCCCTATAAACGTCAACTTACTCTACTTAAAATTTTCAAATATCAAAATATGAGGGGTTCAGGAGTTATGATTGGCCATTCAAACTGACAAACAAACAGATTACTACTTTATATTTATAGATCTTAAAATATTTTCACCTGTCCTCGTATTTCTTAGGTTTCAATATGTACTTCAGTACTTTTGATCCATTAGGATAGGTATATGGCTGAAATCAATATTATAATTAGTTTAAAAAAAAACTTTATTACGAGAAAAAAATCAAGAAAAATCCTCAAAAAAAAAAATAAAAAACTTTTTCAAAACTGAAAAGAAAATTTTAAGATTCTTTTTGAAAAAACCTAATAAATAAGTTACAAATTAAGTTTTTTATTTTTTATAAAATTTTCATTCTCCTATAATTGGAAACATTTTAATATAAACATTTAAAAAAAGGAAGTTATGTGAATAATGTACAAACCTTAAATAAGTTTGCATAATTTGGTACATCGTCCAGAGCTTTTAACAAAGTTTTGTATAAATAGCTCGCTTTGAGATCAGAAAACAGTCTTGTAGAGTCAATCCGGAGACGGAACACAACGTAGTAAAGTTGACCGACTAGGTCGCCATTCTTCAACTTAGTTTTCTCCAGGTTGTCCAGTACACCTAGGTTCCGCGCCATGGTGAACTTTACGTAGGTGTACACGGAGCCAACGGAGGAAACCACACGCCAGAACCAATCTCTAGTCTGGGTTCGACTCAGGAAGCGAAAAAAGACTGGGATTATATCTTCGTCCTGGAAAACTACTGCAACTCCGTCGTAGGCAGGACGGGTTCGGTTCTTAGCTGTCTCCAGGAACATCAGGAACTTTTTAAATGCAACTTCCTCCTGTTCACACTCCACATATAAACCTGGAATAAAAATCAGAAGGGAATAAGCAAGCATCCACCAAGAAGATAAAGGATATAAACTACAGTGCGAACCGGAAAACTATGAATTAGGAAGACGACTGCTGTCTAAACAATGGTCTTATGTTCGTTGGACTATTTAAAGTCGACTTGAGTCTATAAGTCGTCTTCCTATTCTAGAGTTTTCAAAATCTCACAGTAGATTAAAAAAATTCAGGAAATCAATGGATGAGAAGAAGATAGATTTAAGAAGCAGTGTGGGTGGAAAGATTGGTGAATTGAATGGATGAATAAAAAAAAAGACAAGAAAGACTCGGACAGAGGAAAATAGATGAAAAAAGATTGATAACAGGTGGTAAGAGATATAACTATGGAGTCAATAAATCAAATCAAATCAAATCAAATCAAATCAAATCAAATCAAATCAAATCAAATCAAATCAAATCAAATCAAATCAAATCAAATCAAATCAAATCAATTTAGAAGGATGGTGTAAGATTAAAACAGTTTATTCTTTTTCACCTCCTGAACAGTTTTTAAAAATATGTTAAAAAACCAAACAGGTTCTATCTTCTTTTACCTGACGCAGGATTGAAAATATCGTATCTTTCGGCCATATTCTTTTTCTTTCGTTCATTTAATGGTAAATTCGGATCCTTCATAGCTTTAGCAATATTATTCTCCGGCAAAATACAACTAAAAAAATACACGTAAAATTATAGAGAGTCATTCATTCTTCTCCAACATAATATTTGATTTGCCCTACTTTTAATTAAATTCTTATCTTCTCCTTTCTACGTCTTCAAGCATAGCTCTTTTTAATTTTCTTTTAAATCTCCCATTTAAGTTTCCCTAAATTTTGTTAGTTCAATCTGACCTAAAATGATTGCAATGCTTTTCCTTCCTTCTACTCGCAACTCCTCCCAGATTACCTGAGAAAAGAATCTCCAATGAATGAATAGGCTCCTATTTGATAAGGATCTTGATTGAGCCCTGATCCTATACAGGTAATATCCACTACAACCAACAGATAATTACCTTAACATGTATTATCAGTAACTAGATAAATTAATAATTAAATGACAGTTTTGGTGGATTTACTTCAAGTGTTAACTTACCAGGTTTAAGAGTATCTGGATTTTCTGGAACACTTTTTACTCCTCTCAAATCAATATCGGCTCCGAATACGGGAATTCTCTGCTCCAAACCTTCGCCGTGATCTAGATTAACACGAGAAAGTGTTTTGCTTTGCTCCGCCTTTTGTTTAGATGCTTTCCGCTTCGAGAATACATCTGGACCCGGAGATAAACTATCTTGACGAGGAGGATCTTTAAAACCTGAAGACATGGAATATTCGTCCGAGACACGATTACTTCGGTTTGGGGAGGTTGATTGTCGGGAGAAGATCTGCTCATCCACACTGGATAAAGAGGGAGGTGGCGGAGGGGTTAGGGCTGTATAACTCCGGGCTGACGAGAGAACAGAACTGGGGCGTTCTACAGGATAAATAGATGAAACTGAACCTCCCCATTGATCCGTAGGTTTACCAAACACGACCTCCTCAGGGTAAGAAGAAACACTACTCTGACGATATCGATCCCTGAATCCATATCTATCCCTTTCATCTTCTTCATATCTTGAATTCTTTCTTTCATCATACCGATCGTAGTCGTATCTGGATCCTCGATCGTTCAAATATCGGTTATTCCGTTCGTCTGAATATCTTGAGCTACGTTCGTCCGAATATCTCGAGCTACGATCGTCCGAATATCCAGACCTTCCTACATAACGATGTTCATCCTCGCGAAACCTAGAGAAACGCTCTTCCGAGTATCTTCTTGATCGTCGATCCTCTCTTCTCGGGATATATGTGACAGGTTCGTCGATCGAATTTGTAAATTCATTTATACCGAGCTTTTTAAGAAAATCGTCACTTTTCTTCAGCCATTTACTTTTATCCTCATGATCCCTTCGCTCATATTCAAGCCTTTTCCGTTCTTCTCTTATCCGTAATCGCTCTATCTCGAACTTATGCCTCTCCGCTTTATTCCTTTCCCACTCCCTTCTCAGTGCTCTTCTCTCCTCACTAAGAGCTCGATCCTCTGTGTTTTTTTGCTGTTTTCCCAACCTATCTTTAATCGATCTCCGGCCTCTATTTTCTGATCTAAATGATCCTTCGCGGCTTTTTGATCTACGCGATCGACTCGGACTCTTATGCCTATGAGAGAAACCCCGGCTTTCCGATCTTTGATGTCGAGCTCTTCTCTCTGACCTGTATGATTGATCTCTGCTCAGGGATCTACGTGGGGTAAAATTCGGAGATTTAGTTTGAGTATGTTCGTCTGAGTCAGAGAGTACTATACTCGTTTCTCGAACCTTCTCCGTCCTCTCCAAAATAACCTCGATCTCCTCTGTACCTGGAGCATCAGGTTGAGATGATCTCCTCCTTGATCTTGATCTTGATCTACCAGGACTTCTTGATCGCCTTCTGCTGTCCCTACATCTACCTCCACGACATCTTATAGAGTGTCGACATTTTTCATATTTTTTCTTCTCCACATTGTATCGGCGTTTAGACGAACTTTTCTTTTCGTCTTCTCCTATCAAACTGAAAATTAAGTAATGTTGAGTGCTAATTTCTGACAAACCATAAAATAAAGACAAAAATGCTAGGTAGTGGTCCTTGTTTAAAAATATTTTTGACGATCAAGTATATTGTTTGACATTAAAATAATTTTAACAGGTTGGATATGGCAGGTCAAAAATGTTAAAAAATCAATAAATAATTTAATTTTGATCTACCGGCTACTCATTGACTCACCCTGTCATAAGCTCCCTGGCAGGAGTAAGGTATCTAAAGGTTCCATAAAATTGATCAAATCTTGCTTCATGTAGTGGATACCAATCCGCAAACACTGCTGTAGTTTCAGGGAAGGGAAATTTCTTTGATTTCCCGACACCAGCGTACACTCTAAGTGCCGTGGCTTCATCTTGTAAATCCCCCTCCTCATCTCCCGGGGGGAAATCAGAAACTGCCCAATACTTAAATAATTAAATTAAAATTTTTGACATCTATATATCAATATAAATTTATATATAAAGTGGTAAGTAATCTCTGTTTGTATGTTTGGTTTTTCGAGCATAACTCATGAACCCCTTGACCGATTCACCTCAAATTTTGCTTCGGGAACATAAATACATGTTGCTTATTAAGCTGTGCTTTGAATGAAATTGGTCAAGATCATTGACTGAGTATGCACAATAGTTTCATAAAATTAATATTTCAACCATTCAAAATGTTGTAAAATCATATTATATTAGACTAGCTTGGTAACCCAACTTTCCCTGGAACTTAAACTTTATCAACAAAAGTTAACTCTCTCAAATTAAAAAAAAAAAACTAATAATATTTCTGTGGTTCTACCATGTTTCCCAACCAAAATATGAGGCAAATCGGTCGAGGGGTTCATAAGTTAAGATTGGACTTGCATTCAGATGAGAAGAGGGGCTGGGGGGTGGGAGTCTATAAAAAGTGAAAACCTTGTTGACGCATAATAATTCTTGGCACTTCCATCCCTCAGCAGGTGGGTAGAATGCTCCGTTCTTGGGATTTAGATAAACCCACTTCCCATCTGACCTAAAAAGGATACAATATATGAATGCAAGTGATAATGAAATAATAATAAAAAAGAATGATAACATTAACAACGTCTTTTTTATCTTAAATTATATCCATTCGGAAAGGAAATAAAATTTAACTAAATATTTTTAAATTGACCACCATATATATATATATATATATATCCTTTCTTGTCTGTTTGTTTGTAACCAATAAACGCCAAAACGGCTGAACCGATCGGGCCCAACATTTTTATCCTANCAAATATCGTTCTCTAGGAATATACCAAATACTTAATGTAATAATGTAATAAGCAGTATCGTAAGTGAACAAATTCAATTTACAAAATTGCAATGGCCTGCAGAGAGAACACTAACAGACACATTTTGGTGACAAAATATTACGGGATTACAGTTTTAATAAAATCTACTTAGAAATATTATACCAATCTTTTCTTTAAAAATTCGTAATTTCTGAAATTTGCTTGCGCTCACTGCTTGAAGTGGATTAAACCAATAATTTCCATTTAAAAATACAAAATATTGTTGTTTAGTCCTTTTAATTGGTTAATCTTCTGAGACTACTGAGACAAGCTTCTCCAAATATCGAAATAATGAACTAAAAGGTTATTTGGGAAGATGGAATATTTTTTATCGGTCGGATTGGTATGACTATGATCGCTGATGCCGCGCAAGAGGAAGTATTTTCATGACGACATTTAACTGTCCCATATCAAGCGGCCAACATATCGGTAATGTTATCGTCCCCCATAGTACGTGAACTACACGACCAGTATCTATAGAGAACGGGGGGAAAACATTAATAACCCTTATATTATTTTTTAAGAATTCTAGTCTTGTCTTAGAGCCCCAAATTGTTAGTTTTATCTAAAGCCCCTCCCCCTGAATACGCCTCTATTTCATTATTTAATGTAAATATTTAATTTTAACTTCCTCTCGAGAAAATATTCTAATTATTTAGAAAGAATAATTTGTGGTTTCAAGAGTTTCAATGATTTTTAAGGTTTCTAAATTGTAAGGTTTGAGGTTAAATATGGGCGCAAGGATGTTCAAAACTCCGCGTCACATTCTCAGCCGTCGGTACTACCTTAACACACAACTTTCGGATTTGTTAATTTAAATTTTACATTTGCATGAATCTAGAGTGAAAACTAATTATTTAACCTCAATTTTCAAATTCTGAAGAGTGTGTGTGTAGGAGAGAAATTTCATTTTTATTCTTGGGGTCTTTCCTAGTATACGATTTTTGGACCCCCCCCCCTCCTATATCAATTTTGTACATGACCATTTATTTTTCAGCAAATTTATTATTATTTATTTTTTAATTTGTGAATTTTGAATTTTTAGAATAAAATGATATATTAACTATTCATTGAGAATTTGATACTGAATAATGTTCCGAACGGTGAAGTCCCTCCAGAGGTTGGAGAGAGTTCAGAACAAAAGGAATTTTTCTCGAAATATTCTGAAGGTTCTCGCGGACAGGGATCTTATACAAGATACATTTCCCAATCAAAAGGTTTGATTTATTATTTTTTATTATTATTATAATTTAGACATATACCCGATTCGTTAAACATTTTCCAGCTGTGATTTAGCTGCGATTTCCCAGGCTAGCTAGGCGAGGAAGTCGCAGCTAAGGCATAGCCAGAGAATGTCTAACGAATCGGACAATAGTTAGGGCCAAAGTGCGCTCGGCTCTGCACGATCCGATGTAGGATGAAAAATTTATCTATTTTATGTTGAAAATATTTTAATTTTATGTTGAAAATACTTTTATTTTATGTTGAAAATGCTGTTATTTTATGTTGAAAATACTGTTATTTTATGTTGAAAATACTGCTATTTTATGTTGAAAATACTGTTATTTTATGTTCAATAAACTGTTATTTCATGTTGAAAATACTGGTATCCGGAGTCATACACACAAAATATAAAGGATGACGGGTTCAAAGATTGCATTGCATGTACATATACTAGGCCGGACAGGAGCTAAAATAGAGATATTTGAAACTATGTAATTATTTCAGGTTTCTGAGTTTGTTCGATTACTTGAGAAGAGATCCTGGGGTGTATATGCAGGATTCGATCCTACAGCTGATAGTCTTCATATTGGAAACCTGATGGTTATCATGGGACTAATTCATGCTCAGCGTAGTGGACATACACCAATAGCATTAATAGGTTCAGTTTCTTAGTTAGTTTTAACCAAACAGATTATCAAGTACAATAGGTGGCAACAGAGAAATGGATCAATTATACACGACGTCACATCTGTCAAATATAACAAGGAAAACGAAATTTTCTCACATAAGTTGACATGTTTTCCAAGATAAAAAATAAAGTGTAAAAACAGAACATAAAGAACACATAAAATTGAACTTGTTTTACTGTAAAATAAGCACTTTCTTATAAAATTATCACTATTATTATTAATTTTGTCGGACACACAAACTGAGTTGACACTTGTGACGTCAGAATACAGCTGTACTGCGAGTGTACAAATTCTACGTTGCCATCTATTATACTAAAAACTATTTGGTTTTAACATTGTTGATTTAAATGAATTAAATTTTTAGAAACTTGGAAAAGATCACGGTTTCGGACTAACTTGTCTTTCACCCCCTGTCCTCGTTATGTTTTTATTTTGTTGTAAATTCTTAATTTAAGAATATCCAAAAGTGTTTCCCCCCTCCTCCCCCCCCCCAAAAAAAAAAAAATACTCTGTATTTTCTCCCGTTCTAATAAATATAGCAGAAAAAATTCAGATGTTTACTTCAGCTTTGTGTAAAACTTAAAAATTGTATAATAACTATTAGTATCAAAAGTTCATAACCAATATATCAAACAACAAAAATTGAGTTTATAATATTCATTATAAAGTAGCTTAGAACTCAAAAAATGGTTAAATGTAAAAAGTGGTTTATAGAATTAGATCCTATTAGTATTTATCTTATTTTTCAAAAACATAATTCATGCATCCTTCATAATCAAAGTCATTGATAGTAGACCACATTATTTGTGATTTAAAGGTCTCACGCTCTCAGGCACAAATCTATGAGAATTTTGCTAATTACTTCATAAAAACTAAACCTAACAACAAGTGCTTTATAGTAAAATGTACATGTAAACTGTAAAGTGCTAAAGAACAGCCTTTTTCAGTTAGAGCGATAAAATCCAAGCCCAAGGAGTTGCGACACTTCAAAGTCGACCCTGTATTAAAATTGATGAGAATGTTTAAAAGCAGTCTGAATCAATGTGATATCCATAGAAGATAAAAAGTTGAATATACATTTTTGAATATTTTAAGAAGTAGGCTAGCTATCTCTTAATGGCAAAATAACTCTATAGATTGACACCATTAAATTACCTGCTCTTTAAAGCCTAATTTGGGTGTAATTCAAATGGGTGTCTAAAACATTTATTTTAATGTGATGTACGCTAATGCAAAACATGTGTACACCGATAATTTTTTATTTATGACACTGGACATATTAACTTGATCTTCTTTGGAAAATATAAATAGAAAAAATTAAATCTCATACATTTCCTAAATTACATTGAGTAATACTAGATACATTATGGATATTTTCTGAAGGTTTGGTTTACAGCCATAAAGCCACCAGATTTTTTTCACAGTCATTTGGGTTTTTTTTTTAAAGTCACATTCGAGAAAAGTGGCTGTGGCCACATCCACTTGGCAACCCTATTTTTGTCGGACTGGGTCGACCAAGTTTTCCAGAAGATGACTAAGTTATTAAATATACGCAGTACGCACATTGTACGGTATAGATAGATAGATAGTAAATACAACCCCTTCACAAACTATGTTCTTCTTTAATTGACAGAGTCTCAAGATTATATAGTTTTAACCTGTTAATGATATTGTCCTACTTTAGGTGGTGCAACCGGGCAAATAGGAGATCCGAGCGGAAAGAGTAAAGAACGCCCGTCACTAGATCTCTCAATCCTATCCTCTAACATCCTGGGTATCAAATACGACCTCGTCAATATATTTAACAATCATAAAGAATATTTGTGGAGGCCGGAGGCTGGTGAGCTAAAGGAGCTGGAGATAGTGAATAACGAGGACTGGTATCAGAACATGAATATAATCGAGTTCCTGGGAACCATTGGCAGACATTTCCGTGTTGGAACAATGTTAGGAAAACATTCTGTAAAATCCAGGAACTAGAATAAAATTTTTTTAATTAAAATCAAAGCAAATTTTTTAACAAATCCTCTTTTTCTAGTTTAATTTGAAGCATATGATATATTTAGTGTTTTTATTAAATTTTCTACATGAGCTAAAATAAAAAATAAAGAAATCAATAAAGTAGTCTGAGGGTAAAAATGAAAAATTATAACTAAACTTCTCTGCTCTTGTATACCTTTTTAACTACTCCTATAACTTACGGGGACCAAAAATTCTTCTTTTTTTCTTGAAGGTCTTGACGATGTAGTTTTTATATTCATTATTCAATAATTAATATTCAAGTTGCTGTAATTTATTTCGTGATTTAATTCTAGTCTCTGATGCAGATTAAACTCTGATGATGGAATTTCATTGACAGAATTTACATATCAAACATTTCAAGCTTACGATTGGATGAAACTATATAAAGGAAAATAATTTGAACCAAGCCCCGCCCTTCCGGTGCTCCTCCCCCTCTCCACTCAAATTTAAATAATGCGTGAATCAAAATGTACAATTTTCCTTGCATTAAACAAAGATATATATATTTCTTCTTTACGGCAGGTTCCTTGGTCCAAATTATTTATGTTAGTTTAGATTCCGATAGTTTGATTCAGATAGGGGGCAGTGATCAGCTGGGTAATATATCAGCCGGACAGGAGCTGATTAGTAGAGCACTAGATAAACAGGTATGATGTAGGGTTTATCAGCTTCTCAGGAGCTGATTAGCAGAAAACTGGATAAACTGGTACGTTGGTGGATTTATCAGCTGCACAGGAGGTGAGAAAAATAGAATACTAGATAAACTGGTAGTATGGAGGATTTATCAGCTGAACAGAAGCTGATTAGTACAGAACTAGATAAACTGGTAGTATGGAGGATTNAGATAAACTGGTAGAATGGAGGATTTATCAACTGATTAGTAGAATACTAGATAAACTGGTAGAATGGAGGATTTATCAACTGAGCAAGAGCTGAGTAGTAGAACATTAAATGGACAGGGGCTTCTTGTAGAGCATCTTAGGATTTGAATAATAGTAAAATACTTTTTCAGGTTTTGGGTATAACGGTTCCTCTGATGGTTTCTGAGTCTGGTAATAAATTTGGTAAAAGTTCTGGTACTCCAGTCTGGTTAAACTCTGGGAAAACAAGCTCCTTTGAGGTTTACCAGTTCATGCTTCGAAGGCCTGATTCTGAGTTGGAGAAGTTATTAAAGTATTTTACTTTTCTTCCGCTAGGGGAGATCGAGAACACGTTGAGAAAACACGAGAAGAACCCGGAGTCAAGGTACGGACAGGAGAAACTAGCGGAGAACCTAACCTTGCTCTTACACGGAGAAGCAGGGTTAACTTCAGCCGTCAGAGCGACAAATGTGATCTACAATAATGATATCAGCGAACTAGCTAAGCTATCCCTATCTGATACTCGGGATTTATTTAAGCAAGCTGATTATATTCAGAAACTTTACACACCTGGTCTTTCTATTTTAGGAAAATGCTGAATTTAATTTTTTTCCATTTAATTTTTTAAAATCACATATTTTGTATTGAGATATTTGAAAAAATTCTAACAAATTTACACCCAAAATATAAAATTAATATCAGATATATTTAAAGATTAAATATGATATTAACAAAAATTCAATTTGTACTTTTTCTACTGTTCGTGTTTGGTCATTAATCATAACATTTTGAGGCACAACATTCTAGCAAGGCTAGTGTATCTTTGTAGCAAGTACAGGGTTACCCACAAAGGATGAGACTGTAAAGACGACCGAAAACTGTGACGATCCTAAGGTCAAATTAAGTATTCGGTCTTAGCTATATTAATCTAATGGCTTATATAATGATTTGGCAAAGAAAGAAACAAGTTTACAGTTGCATGGAATCGTAAATATAAGGAAACCGACAGTATGAATTACGGAGAATCGTCTCTGATTTCTCATTATTTGACCCTTCTTTATTTTTAGCATTTTTTAAAAAGATTTTGCCCTGAGTATTGGTTGCTTTAAAACCGAACGAGATGCTTTAAGAATAATCAGTGCCGGAGGATTCTATTTGAACCAGAGCAGGTCGATGAACCCTGATGAGATCTTGGTTCACGGGATACACATCCTCGACAACAACCTCAGTATGGTCAGGGTCGGGAAGAAAAATTATTATATTGTTGAATGGACGTAATCTTGTTCATGGAAACTGATTTTCTGGGTTTAAAAAGATGTGATTTTCGAAACCAAACTGAAACATGTGTTGTTTGTAAACTCATTGTTTTGAGTTGATTCGTCGTGATTGTTTACGGTTTAGAGGGTCCGGCGAGATGAAAATTTTAACGAACTTTAAATTTCATTTTTTCAGAAACATGGTTCGGGTTCGTGTGGTATTTAAACACGACTCCGACGCCCCGGAAATGAACACAACCGGAGACGAGATTTCCAGGGTTCTCCGAACTCGGAATAGTAATGGAGATGGCTCTCGGAGGAATTCTGTGTGCGTTGGAGGCAGTCTGGAAGGAATTGCGGAGGAGGAGGAAGAATTCATGTTCAGGTTTGGAAACGTATCAAATGTTGGAAAATGTGACAGCATCAAGACATTTTTGTCTGAATTGTGACATACTTTCTCAACGGTTTATTTCATTACAAATTAAATTTTGTGATTACTTTTCAGCAAAGCATCTCAGTTAGCAGAGGAGACTGAATCTGCAGGGAAGGACGTTTTCGGGTTTAAAACTCCTAAAAAATCTGGATCTATGGTTCTAAAGGCTCAGGAGGAATTGAACCGAACTCCTAGATCTGCAAGGAACACACCCAACTTTAATCCTAGCACTCCTAGAACACCAAGAACTGGAAGCAGGACAACTACTCCGAGTAAGGTAAGAGTTTATGGTCAATACTCCAGCTTGTGTTTTCATTATACCAATCCATCCATTCCGTTAATCAATCATCCTCTCTCTACCTATCTATCTATTCATCCACCCACCATCAATATTGAATTCTATATTTAGGTGCTAACTCCCCGGAGTGGAAGGAATACTCCTGTTCGTGGTATACTGAAAACTCCTATAGGAAAACAGAGACTTATTGAACCAGATACTCCTCTATCCTCAAGGTAGGACTAGATACTCTACTTCAGTACTTCTGTTTCCTCCAGGTAGGACTAGGTACTCTACTCTGTACTTCAGTAAAACTGTATCCTCCAGGTAGGATTAGATCTAGATACTCTACTCTGTACTTCAGTACAACTGTATCCTCCAGGTAGGACTAGATACTCTACTCTGTACTTCAGTACAACTGTATCCTCCAGGTAGGACTAGGTACTCTACTCTGTACTTCAGTACAACTGTATCCTCCAGGTAGGACTAGGTACTCTACTGTGTTTACTCCTCTATCCTCCAGGTGGGACTAGGTACTTTACTATGTGTACTCCAGTACTACTGTATCCTCCAGGTAGGACTAGGTACTTTTACTCAAGAACTTCTTTTATCCCCTAGTTTAGTTTCAATTAATTCTCTTTAATGTGCTCTCAATAATTCAAAACTAAATATTTTTTTATTTTTTCCCTTGAAATAACTTGACAAAATAGTCAAATTTTAAATATTAAGAATTTCTAGCATTTAAAATATTGCGATATGGGTTGAAGTTGCAGTATTATAAATTATATGCATTGTAGATTTTGAGGGGGGGAAATGCAAGAAAATATGAGTTTCCTAAAGTTTAACAAAAACAAGAATTTTTGTGTTATCCAAAGATAACTAGTAGTAAGGAATTCTTTTATCCAAAGCTGCAATGTGTTTATGTACGTATGTCACACTGTTGTGCGTCCACAAGAACCTCTTTAATTTGCGTCCTCAGTTTGCGTCCTCAATGTGCGTTATTGCTGTGAGTCCTCACTATTAGTGCTTTCGAATAGAAACGTCCTCGTTTGTAACCCTGAATGTTGATACATGTTGCCTTAAGAGGGACTCGTAGGGTCTCCAATTTCTGTGAAGAACTAGATCTTGATGAGGATGAAGGCCTTGATAAGGTTGGTCTTCAAGACTTAGCATGGGAAGGAGCACGGGAAGCAGGGCGGGAGGAGACAGCAAAAACATTTGGCGAATTTCCATGGTAGGAATTGGCGCATTCCGGGTTTTCATGAAAAGAAGATTCAACATTGTGCCTTATTCTCCACTAAAACCAACCAAGATCGTTTTTTATCTTTATTGGGCCTAACTCCTTAAGTCGAGCCGAAGATCTTGCAGCTGTCAATCACGTGACACAAGCTAACAGAGTTGGGTTGAAGATTGGGTCTTAAAGTCGGGTTTAAGTAATTACGGCTCGAGCCGAAGTTTTTAAATCTCGGTTTTAGATTGTTGATAATTATTAACTCTCCTATTTTCTATTACAGAAAGAGAGTTAAGAAAACACTCATTCAGATCTCTGAAGAGGTAGAAACAAACCGGTTTTCAGACTCAGGTACAATAAATCCTGTAAAATCAAGAATTTTTTATTTTTCAATTATGTTTTCACAAGAGATTTTAATGCTTTAGAGAAATTAATGCCGACTGATTCCCAATTTTTTTTATCTTTTCTCTCAGATCTTTTGAAACAACTTCGGGTTGTTATTTTGAAAAATATTCATCCCCTCCATTTATATGTATCTAGGTTCTGAATCGAGTGAAGAGGATTGTATGAGCAACGAAGAAAATGAAAGGTTTGAGTTTGAAATAATTACAATTGTGTATTTGAATCATCTGACAAATGGTCCTTCTTTAGACCAATCCTGCGTGGTCCCCCCGCTACCCCCCGGACCCCGGCTAGACGGGGCAGGACTGGAAAGGAAGCTAGAGAATTGAACGCGGCAAATATGGCGGAGAGTTATTTCGAAGCACAGTCGGCCAAGGTTAGTATAATAAAGATAGAATGTTGCCAAGTTAACAAATGAGAAGAAAATAACAAAATATATAATAAATGATAAATAAATATATATAATCATTAAATAAACTAGAAATTAAAACGTAAACCAGTAAATCGTGGAGAATTCCTTCTGGCCAAATGAACCTAGTTTTTAATCTATGAAATATTATCTAGGTTTTAACCTCTGATCGAACCTTGAATAAGCTGAATACTCCAAGGTTGAGTCAGGAGCAAGTTTCAAAAATACTCGAAACCTCCAAACTACGATACAAGTCAGAGATACAGGAACTTGTATATGATCATAAGGTGAGAAAGTACATATATTTCTAACAATAGTTTCAGTAAAACTAATTGCGCAATATTTTTTAAAACCCACAAATATTTTTTAAAGCAAACAAAATTCTCCCTCTAAGGAAGTGATCTATTTTATTTTAAAGGTGAATTATCCAAAGTGGTTGAGTTTACTACATCGTGGGTATAGTATTGTAACCTACGGACTTGGATCTAAGAAATATCTTATTCATGATTTCCAACAGGAGTTGCTAACAGGTATCTATTCAGTTTAGTCTCATTTTCGGACTTGATTATCCCCTAAATGCAAAACTATATTACAAAAAGAATTATTCTTTTTATGTACCTATTATTTGTTATGTTATAGTTCGTCCCTTTTTATGATGGGAGAATCGACAATAAAATAGGAAAACAATGATTTTTTTATTCCAACAAAGTATCGATACAAACTTTACGTAGAGGGAGCAGCTGGACCTTGGGGAAATAACATTTTTTGTGAAAAAATCGTAAAATTTATTTTTACCTGAATGGCACACAATGCGAAATATTTAATATCTGTAGATGACGACTGTGTAGTTGTGAACGGATTTTTCCCATCATTAACCCTGAAATCCATCCTAACAAGTATATCCGAGGATATCCTGGAGATAGATTCAACCTTCTCCTCCAATCCGGAGCATGTAGATGCTATTCTCAGGGACAAACCAATCATTAATGAAAAATCTTGAGCATTTTTTTAGTTTTATGGAAACTTTGAGATGATCGGCATGAACTGGGTTCGCTGATTAATATATATATTCCAATATATCAAAAACCAATAATAGATCGCTTTAGCTTCATTTAAGGAGAGAATGAGCTAATCCTCTTCTGTCCTTTAAAAAGACTAAACTCTAAAAGATTGCGATTAAGAATTGTATTTACGTATGTCGTATACGATACGTGAATTGTTATTGTGACAACAGAAGAATTCGTTACAACAGCTGAAAGTTGTATCTTCATTTTGTTTAATATTTTTCTCTTAATTAATTATTTTGCTCTTTAAGCCGAGTAAGATAGAAATTGAATGAATGTAACTATTGTTCTTGGCGCCATAATTAACTTTAATTAATATTCATAAATTAAAAAGTTGGTTTTATATTTTTTGTTATATCTCATCGTTAACTTGTTAGAGATTTTATTTAAATGATTTTCGTTCTCTTAAAAAAAAGGTTTTTACTTTCATTATGATGTCCATTTTGTATCTCCTTTTTCCTTAATATCTCAATATCTAAGCTCATTCATATTTTTTCTGCTCTTATCCTGATTTAAATCATATTTTGCTCCTCTTTATGGATTAAATCCAACTTTTTGATAATGATAGGTTTTTTTCTCGTTTTTCCTCATCATGTTTTCTTCATCTCCTAGTGACCTTTAAATATTGGTTTGGGTTAGTGGTGTTGAGAACGACCTATATCTCCTAATCCATAATATTGATGGATCAATGCTCCGGAATGAAAAGACACAATCCGTCCTGGCGGACCTTGCTTCTCATCCTAAGGTTACTTTTATTCTTTCATTTATTCTTAACCTTTGGTACTTTCTCTTGTTCATCCTTCATCCTGAATACTTTCTTTCGTTCATCCTTCATCCCGGATGCTTTCTTTCGTTTATTCTTCATATCGGATGCTGTTTCCGTTCATCCTTTATCCTGAATACTTTCTGTCGTTCATCCTTCGTCATGGAAACTATTTTTCGTTCATCCTTCATCCTGAACCTGAAAACTTACCATCTTTCATCCTTCATTCTTAACCTTTTTTATTCATCATAAAGCCTTTTCATTAATTCACCATGGAAACTTTTATAAATTCATCCTCTAAATCTTGAAACTTTCCTTTCAATTGCTCCTGAACCTTTCATTCATTCATCTTTATTTGAACCTTGGAAACTTCCTTTAATGCATCCTTTATTCTGAAACTTAAATGCGTTCTTTTATTCATTCTGAAACTTGGAACTTTCTTTTATTTATCCTGTATCCTGAATCCCGGAAACTTTCTCTCATTTATCCTGAATCCTGAATCTTGGAAACGTGCTTTCAGTTTTCCTGAATCCTGAATGGTGAGCTCTGGAAACCAAATTGTCCGGGAAACTCACGTCAAATACAAGAATTTTGAATTTTAAAAAAATTGTTCATTTATTTTATTTAGATTCATTTAGTCTGCTCAATAGATCATATCAATGCTCCTCTAATCTGGGATCAACTCAAGCTAGCAAGGTAGGATATAAATTTGAACTATTCGGTTTCATGGTAGAAAACTTGAAAGTTTAATGATCAACTCAAGCTAGCAAGGTTGGATATAAATTTGAACTATTCGGTTTCATGGTAGAAAAATTGAAAGTTTAAGGATCACCACACGGTCCAGGAGGAGAATTTTAACTATTATCTGCTCCCTGCTTAGCTCGTGTAAACTTTACTAAACACGTAACATTTGAAAATAAAATTAGCTTGAATTAAATTTCTTTTTCAGATCTTTGTTACTCTAATTGTAACTATTTAATAATTTAAAAACGTTATCTGATGTTGGATATTAAAGATTTTGACTCTGTTGGGTTGATAAGTAACAATGATAATTAAGAATTGATCTAGCCTTCTGTCCAGGTTCAACTTTATCTGGTTCGACGCAACCACATTCCTTCCATACACCGACGAGGCTGCTGGTGAAAGCATGATGGTTAAAGCGAGTGGAGGCCTTCAGCTTGCCAGTATTACTCACGTGCTCGCTGCGCTCACGCCCAACGCAAAGCGTATTTTCCTTGTGCTGGCCAAATATCAAATTGAACACCAGGAAGCTCATTACCCTGGGATAGCGTTTATGGAACTCTACTCCAGGTGCAGGAATGAGTTCTTGGTTTCCAGCGACCTGGAGCTAAAGGCACAGGTATGATCTAGAACTAAAAGACGGTGAGGTACCAAACGAATAAACATTGAAAATCTCTGTGACTTTTTTATCTTGATCTTGCTTTTGTCATTAAACCTAATCTTGGCATTAGTATTTAGTAACGATTTTGTCATAAACTTGATCTTGACGATTAACTTGATATCGGCTTTAATCTTGATATTTTCTTTAAACTTGATCTTTGCATTAATCTTAATCTCAGTATTAGTATTGATTTATTAGTGAAGTAGACGTGAACTTGGTCTTAACCTTTTCTAAGACCTTGACCTGTTCTTTGACCTTGACCTTTCCAACGGTCCTGATCCGTCCTTTGTCCTTTGACTTTGACCTTGACCTGTCCTTTGACCTTGACCTGTCCTTTGACCTTGACCTTTCCTTTGACCTTAACCTGTCCTTTGACCTTGACATTTCCTTTGACCTTAACCTGTCATTTGACCTTGACCTGTCCTTTGACCTTGACCTATCCTTTGACCTTGACCTGTCCTTTGACCTTGAACTGTCTTTTGACCTTGACCTTCCTTTGACCTTGACCTATCCTTTGACCTTGACCTATCCTTTGACCTTGACCTATCCTTTGACCTTGACCTATCCTTTGACCTTGACCTATCCTTTGACCTTGATCTATCCTTTGACCTTGACCTGTCCTTTGACCTTGATCTGTCCTTTTACCTTGATCTGTAATTTGACTTTGACCTGTCCTATGACCCTTTGACCTAGACCTGTCCTATGGCCTTAACCTGTCCTATGTTTAGTTGACTGAGTTCCGTGACCATAAACTGGTTGGAAGTAGGAGAGGAGGGGATGGAGCAGAATATCTCAAGATACCAATAGATAAAACTGCACTAGCCTCATATATTGAGAATATAGAGGATAGAATGTAAAAACATTTCTAATGAAAGTCGGAGAATCAACCGTAGTACATTAAACAAAGTATTTTTTACTATTTTTTCCATAAATAGTTTTTTGGTGTATTTTCGCGCATTTCTAACTAATGCAGGCTGTGATCAGAACCTTTTACGCTTCATTTCCGTCATATTCTTATTCTTATTCTTTATACTTCATTATAACTCTTAACCAAGTGATAAATTGTAATATTTCAGACAAAATATCACGATTAATAAAAATGCTGCCCCGGTGTCTTGTCTTCGACTTAGGAGAGTTCTTTGATACTAGCAATAGCATAGTTTTTATTTTGTATCAGTATCAGTATCAGTATATTTTTTTCAGTATCAGCATCGGTATTTGTATTACTATCAGGAGTATCTCAGTATCTCAGTGTCAGTATCAGTATCAGGATCAGGATCAGGATCAGGATCAGTATCAGTATCAGGATCAGGATCAGAATAGTATCAGTTTCAGTATCAGTATCAGTATCAGTATCAGTATCAGGATCAGGATCAGGATTATATTAGTATCAGTATCAGTATCAGTATCAGGATCAAATTAGTATCAGTATTAGTACCATGATCATGTTCATTATTTGAATGAGTAAATAAATGACTCGTGAGAATAGATGGATGTGTATGGGACCCTGAAATGTATGAATTATGGGGAGGGGGTGGAGCCCCCTTTAAACAGAACAAAGACGGAACACTGATCGACAAGGCTGGTAGGGTTCTTTCAATATCTAACATTCATCTTGGGAATATAAATAATTCTACAGGGGTGTATATTTTCTTGAAAAATCGTATACTCTCCCCTTTGGAAAATAATTTTTTTCCCAGAAGTTAGATACGCTATACTAAGGGTATTATTTGCTGATCTAGGGAAAATAAATGATGATATGGAAAAATAAGTTAATTTTTGAGTAAAATGTATTAGAAATAATCTATGTCCAATTTTTCATCAATTCTTAAAATTATGTACTCTTGTAATTTTAAAAATTTCGAATGATTTTTCCCTCTCCAAATTTGACACTACATAATTTGATGAAGGTACCAAAGTAAAACTGTTGGGGGATGTGAAGAATTTAATGCACGAGTTTGCTACGGATCCTAAGTGGCAGCAATCAAAGGTAAGAGAATTATTATTGTCCTTCTCGTCCAACCTAATAAAAAACACTCCCTAGCACTTCCTCCCCTCACCCCAACTGCACGTCCTGAGATTTTACACTGCATAGGAAATCTTTTTCAGGGTTTTTTTTGAGTGGGGGACTTCAATTTTTTATCTTTTGATACTTTTCCATCCGAAAGATCAAAGATAGAAAAAGTGGACTACTGTAATGGTTGGTTTCTGAATTTCCTAGAATTTGAATATGAAGATATTTGAGTTAAATTCATTTATTTTAAATTGCATTTATTCCAAGTTTTAAAGAATCATTTGGCGGATTAATCCATTATCTGATACAAAATAATGCAGAGATCGACTACCCAGAACAAAATATAAAATATCTTAATTTTTTGGATAAATCTTAATTATCAAGGACCAAATTTGGAGAATTAAATATTTCTTAATAAGCCGAGTTTTTGTACATGAGAAGATATTTAGGAATTAATCACAAATTAGTTTTAAAAAATCTTCTTTTATGATACTAGAAACCGTACAATGGACATGAACCTAATTTGATGTGTCTAGGTTAAATATTTCAATTTTTATTAATTTTAGTTTATTTGGTGTCAAATTGAAAGTATAATTATTTATGATAGGTTATATAACTGTATGTGTTAAAGGGGTATATACTCTCTTGAAAATCATCCCCTCTATCTAACAATTTTTTTTTTCGTAATAGAAAGTAAAAAAAGATTAAAAGCATAAGCAAAAGCATTTTAAGTTTTAATGTATTTTTGACCTTGTAACTTTTGTTTTTACTTTCTTATGATTTCTATTTAAATTACGTTGTGTAGCCTACAGACCAGAAATCTAAAAAGTTTTTATTGCGTAGATTTGCGTCGCTAGCTCATGTGATGAACCTGACTGGGCCAGGGAATGCATTAGGGAAGCTTATCTTTAAAAAAATTCTTAAAGATTTTATGATTTCACATGAATTATTCCCCCCCCCCTCTTACTTTTTAAGCTCAATTTTGTATACTTTGTATCTTTAAAAAAAAAAATTTAATACAACATTGATTTGTTTTGGTATTTCAATATTTGAAAATATTAAATTCATTTATTTCTCCCTGGTTTTAGAATTGATTAGATATGATAAGCTGTTCTGTATCTAAGATAATATCCTCTAGTAAGTTTGATATCGGAGCAGGGTTGAAGTTGTCGGATGTGTTTGACAAGAACAATATTGAGATTTATAAGAGATCGAAGGATCATCATCTTCGTGAGATCGCCAGGAAAACAGGAGTTCCTTTGGAGGTAGGTCATCTTTATGCTCACAACGTGTTCCCTTTGGGGGTAGGTTATTTTTATTCTAACAATGTATTCCCTTCGCAGGTAGGTTATTTTTTTTTAACAATGTATTCCCTTTGGAGGTAGGTCATTTTTATTCTAACAATTTAGTCCCTTTGGAGGTATGTCATTTTTATTCTAACAATGTATTCCCTTTGGAGGTAGGTTATCTTTATCCTCGCAATGTGTTCCCTTTGGAGGTATGTCATTTTTATTCTAACAATGTAGTCTCTTTGGAGGTATGTCATTTTAATTCTAACAATGTGTTCCCTTTGGAGGTAGGTCATCTTTATCCTCACAATGTGTTTCCTTTGGAGGTATGTCATTTTTATTCTAACAATGTAGTCCCTTTGCAGGTAGGTTATTTTTATTCTAACAATGTATTCCCTTTGGAGGTAGGTTATTTTTTTTCTAACAATGTATTTCATTCGGAGGTAGGTCATCTTTATCCTCACAATGTGTTCCCTTTGGAGGTATGTCATTTTTATTCCAACAATGTGTTCCCTTTGGAGGTTCAAAATGATCCATTTGGGTGGTTACGTTTTGAGAATCGATTTTTTAAAATTATTAAATAATGACAACAAAAAATGTTTTAAAAAATGACAGTAAGATGTTTAGGAGCATATTTCTCAATAGAAATTTGTCAATAATTGATTAGAATCAATTATTTCTTTTTATCAGTAAAATGAATTTCTTATTCTTCACGAAATTGTACGTAGATTTCTTCAAATGTCGTCTTTTGAATAAAGATTCCGAGAAATCTACAGAAAACGTTTTGTGAACAATGAGACATTCAAGAAACAAATAACTGAATAAGATTTCTTATTTTCGATAATAAGAGTCAATTTTTATTTTCTGAACCTGTTCCTATTTTTAAAAATCGATTCTCAAGACGTATCCACCCAAATGGATGACTTTGAACGTCGACTTTGCGCTCAAACTCAGTAATTATACATCATTAAAATGTTCTATATGTTTCAATGAATTTTAAAAAATTCTCTTCAATACTATATTCTCAGTTCAACTACGATACATTGCCGTTTACTCACTTTAAAGGGACTGTAAGCGTAATTTTAAGTGACCCACCATACAAAGATGGCAATGCCCGAAATACAACTTGGAACCTTAATCTGTTCAAAAATGTGAATGATATCGTCAGACTCGAAAAGTGTTTATTTCTGTGATTTTCTCCATTGCTTCTTACAAACTTAGAGATGCGCAAGTCACTTCCGAAGAAAAAAAAACAAAAAAAAAAACAAATTAAGGAAACTAAAACGTAGATATCTAATTTATACTTGATAAGACAAAGCTTTCTAGGGCAACGTAGTAAATCGGGCATTGCCATCTTTACATGGAGGAGGCTCACTTGAAATTACACTTACAGTCCCTTTAAATCAAATTCCAATATTTTTCGCTCTCTTATTTATATCTTTCATGTTCACTTTCTCGCAATATTTCCCTGTTCTCTATTCCTGTTCTAAGTATCCAATTTTGAACCATGAAGAAGCACTCAACTCTACTTTAAAATATATCTTAGAAATTAAGAAATATTATGTCCGAGGATTGTACCTATAAAATATTATATTTTGAAGAAGATGAGATGAATGATAAGTAAATTAATTCCTTTACATCTCAATACCACACAATTTGCAAATTTTAAACCTATGACGAATATTTTTTCAATATTCTTGCGGGATAATTGCTCGTTAGCCTTTTTCTTCACAGATTTTTCCTTATGGGATCGACTGAAGTCAATCTTTATCGTTAGATCAAGGTTTTGAAAAGGGTGCCGTTTTGAATCGTTAATGGTATCTCTCGATCCTTAAAGAATTGTAAATAATTTATTGAAAAATCATTTAAAATTAAACCCCTGCCAAGCAACTATATAAGAAGGCTAGGCTTAAAGGTATACGGTCTTACTGAATAGGGGGCGGAAAATGGTAGGTATTCTGGAGGCGTTGCTGTCAGCTTCGGAATCTTCGGAATCTGGTGAGTGTGCAGTGGGTTTGTTGTAGTACGCCATTAAACTTGACCCATGCTTAGTGGTCCACACTTTAGTCCAGTGTGGCCAACCACAACGACAATCCGCTACTTCCTCTGGAGGAAGTGCGGTGACGTGGACTCTTCCCTAACCTCTCTTCGGATTGATGGGTGACTGTTTTATTTATTTATTCATATATAGTTGGGCAGACAAAAGATTGCAGGTATTCACATTGGGTATTGCAAGCCGGTTTTTTAAACTTGTCTTCACTCTCCACTAAGTTGTTAATCTTACATGCATCGGGAATGGAAATTTGTTACATCCTGTAAGCAGTAGTTCAGATCATTTCAATTATTTCTTAGTTATATAATAACTAGACTTTTGGGACGTTCGCGCCCGTCTGCTATTTCAATTTTTAATTCTGACTCGAGGGGAGGAAGGCCAGCCACAACAATTTCTCGTCCGAGCCACATTCTCATTTTTTCGTCCGAGCCACCTCGTAAACCTCGTCCTTCGCTTATTATTTGTTTTTAAGTTTCTAATTCTTGAAGATAAAGCTATCTTTCAATAATCAGGCCACGTTAGGGCATAAAATATGGATAGACTAAAGTATTGCAATGATTACATCATGTTGAAACGAACAGACAAGAATTATATAAATAGAAGCTCTTCTCTCATATTTATACATGAATATTTTATTTCGCTATAACTGTCTTACGGCTGGACCAAATTTGCTGATTGATTGATGGAACCCATTTTTAAAACCTGGGCAACGTCGGGTACTAAAGCTATATGTAGTTTCTCATAAAGCAGGTAGTCGTAATGTGTATTTTACTTTTAAGGAGATCGTAACTTGTCTGAAAGACGTTAAAATTTACTTAGGGGTTACATATGGTAAGATGCTTGTCCCTCCTAAGGAAGTTTTTCTGTTCACTAGTTAAAAAATACCACGGATAAAGCTGAGTACATCAGAAAGAATAAATTTTTATTTAGGAAATGATTTTCTTCGACAACCAGACAAACAACTGCCAGACAGTATCTAGAATAGGAGTAACTGTAGTCTACACACCAGATGGAGTTACCAGACAACTCTTCCAGGTAATCAGATAATAATCAGATATCTGGGTTCTGCGCCTTTATTATGATAAACACAAAAAACCTATTTCATGCTACAAAGGTTGTTCTGAACTTAAAGTATTTTTAACCTGGACTTAGTTTTTATTTTTCTGCAAATGATTTTTACAACATTTAATACTTCTTCTAAAAGAACGCTCCTGACACCTAAATTTAAAGTTTAAAATTAGGCTCAAAGATTGAATAATTTGTAACATTCAATTAAGAATCTGTGTCTTATTTCTCCAAAACCTGCCACGTACTCTGAACCTTTGTTATTAAAATTTGAAAATGGAACTTATGTATAAATGATGAAACCAGTTTTATTTCAGGAAGGATTGGATAAATTTCCTGCTTCTGGAGAGATCATTGGCCCTAAATCCCGGGGATATTACTAGGATGGATAGATAGATAGATAAATGACCTATTCAGAGCTGGAAACTTCGGAATTGACGGAACTAACCTAAATCTGCTAGAATGAGCAACTATTCAGTTGAACCGATTCAAATTAGTTCCTAGTTCCATTAATTCAAAAGTTGTCAACTCAGGACTAAAAAGTAATATTTTCCTAGTATTTTTTAATACAATATTGTGATATTTTTTTACCCAATTATGTATCTTAATTAACTTTTACATTGTTACTTTATAGTTATTAAAAATGTGACGGGATTGCAATATTTTCTCCTGTTTTTTACTAAATATTTCAGCTTAATATATTATTTCTGATACAAATTGTATTATTTTTTTTTCAGAGACAATGGTTGGGTTTAGATAGAGTCTTGGACTACAAAAACAGTTCCAAGTAAGTTTGTTTTTAAGGAATAAGTATCATAAAGGATTTTTGTTCTAAAAATTAGATTCATCAATAACCATATTTAGATTATGGTTTTTTTTCAAAGCATTTTTCCTCTACAGTTAATAGGTTCAGCAATAAAAACTTGATTGGAAATATTTTTCAATGATAGAAGGAGATCAGTGTGTCAGACATTAAGTACATTACTTCTTAAAGCAGTTCTTTTTTTCTGGAGAATGGAAGTTAACTTGACATAATGCCGGAAATAAAATTAAAGCCTTTTTCGTCCTTGGATGATCTATTTTTATTTTAGGATGGGTGAGGAGCTGGCTCGGCTCCAGCAGGAGGTGGTGAGGCTAAGTCAGGAGCTTGACCAAACCATCTCGGAGAAGGAGCAGGCTGCACAATACGGTCTAGTCCTGCTGGAGGAGAAGGATGGGCTAGAGGCAAGGTGTCAGGTAAGTTTTTTTTTAGAAAAGTTAGTTTTTCATTTTAATCATTTTCTAAAGGAAACTTTAAATAAACTATTTTTAAACTTCGTTTAAGAGCGTGTGTACCCCGGCCCGCTAATAGATATGCTTATATCTATCGATCTTAGATTAGAATCCTGATGGGTGTGCACTATGCACTACGACACTAGTTTATATTTTGCCGGCTGCAAGGAAAATATTGATGTAGACGAGGCCCTAATTTGAAGCACTGTGTCCGAGATTAACATACAAGAACCAAAATTCTTTTGTCGAAAATATCCACTCCTTTCCTAACCTTTCTTTTCCCATTTGACATTATTAAGGCGGAATTCTGACAATTACTATCCTTAGTGCTGTGAAATTTTTTCTACAACCTTTAAGTATATTGAACGATGAATTTGAACCTGAACCTTCAATCAGTTCAGTCAGCATTCCTAGAAACTGAAAAATGCAGATCAAATAAAAACAACACCATGTCAGAGAAAAAAATTCACTGCTCTTTTATAAATTTTGTTAGAAATTTTCAAATCTAAAAATAAATTTTAAAAGAAAATAAGTCCAGGGTCCAATGTTTAACGTAGTGCATAACACCCCAGCGAAAAAATGTCATCAAACCTTGACTATGATATATCCATTCTATTTATATCCATGGTGTGTACTGTGTATGAAACAAAAATGTATAATTTTTTACTTACTTGTACAATTTTTTAAACAAAATTAATTTTAGTATTTAAGTCCCTTGTTAAAGTAGAACTTAAATAAAACAGTAAAACCTTCGACTTTTTTAATGGTTAATAACGTCTCAAAATCTAATTTATATTGTTAGGATCTAGAGAATCTGTATGAGAACAACACTAAGTAAAATCTAGCTGTCTTAAGAACAGGGCAATTTTGAAAACCTTTTGTTTGAATTGAGATTTGGACAGAAATAACACGCAGATGTCAAAGAATATTTTACTTATTCTTGTCAGATCTGGTTTTATCTAAAATATTACAATTTAGAGATAATTACTTGAAATAGTTAAAATTTTAAATAGGAACTTTAAGAAATAAACACACTTTTACCGCAATATCTCGATGTTCTTAGAACTAAGTCTTCTCCATGTACTAGTTCACGTCCTGTAGACTTCTAAACTACTCTTCTGGGACCTTATCCTTGAACTTCCAAACTACTCTTTTGGGACCATATCCTAGAACCGTGTTCAGTTTCGTACCATGGTTTCTTGTAGTCTGAATTATTTGTCAGAGTACAGTTGTACAGTGTACAACATGTGTACGCTAAATCCATTTCCTGTAGGGGGTGGGAGGGTGCAGAGTGGAGGGTGGAGAATCTGTATGAAAATGCTAGGCTAGATCTTCTATTATAATTTATATTCTTAGGATCTGGAGAATCTATATGAGAATACTAGACTAGATCTTTTATCTAATTTTTATTTTTAGGATCTGGAGAATCTGTATGAGAATACTAGACTAGATCTTCATGTCACACAAGAAGCCCTGACAAAGTTTCAATCCAGTCAGCAGGTGAAACAATACTCTTCTCTTTAGATCAATATTTAGATTGTTGAGATGTTTTTATTAATGACACTTAGATTCCCCTGATGGTGGTTTTAAAGTTGGCATTTATGTTTGTCACACATTTGTGTGTCTTTGGTGGTGATCACCATTAACTTCATTCTTTTTTTAAACTTCTACATAATGATGATTGATTGCTTGATTGTTTTTTTAAGCTTTTTGGGCTTTTAACGTTTCCCGAGTCAAGTTCTACTCAATTCAAGATATTTGCAAAAACAAACAAAAAACTATCGTGTTTTTTATATTTTCTCTGAAAATAAAAATTTGACATGGTTTAATTATAAAATCAAACTTTTCCTGAATACAGAAAGATATTGGAACCAACACAGATTTTCGTGGTGCCTTTAATAAGTCCCAAAACAATTTTTAACGAATAAAATTATTGCCCATCACTAGTCCGTGATAGTGCCTCCCTGATTTCTAATAGTTTGTTCACAAAAATGCGTTCTCGTTACAATTGCCCTTATTAGTAAATAAGAGTGCATTTTTGACAATAAAAAAACATTCATCGTTCAATTGCTATGATACTATGATACCTTATTAGTCATACTTTGCGGCCGGGTTATGACAGTAGGACGTTTCTAAAAGTCAGATTTGATTTAATTTAATTTGAAAAGTTGCTTTTACTTTTGCAACTCAGTGTTGATGTAGTACCACCTATAATAAGTATTTTGTTTTAAGTTGTGATGTATTTTCGTATGTTGTTGTCACACATTAGTTGTCCCTAGTGTTTTCTCATAAGTACGTTTTGCAACAGAAAATGTTGATAAATCTTGTTAGCTGATATAAGGGAAAAGTAAATGTAAGGTAAGGTATTTTTAGTAGTATATATATATATATACAGGTTTCGACGAGAACTGGAATCGAACATGAAGAAATATTACTTTCTGAATCCGCCGCCAGGGAGACATCTCTCAACACACAGATAATAGAGATGGAGCTGGACTTGAAGGCTTCTAAGGTTGAACTGGAAAGACTGAAGACGGAGAAGACGAGTGCTATGACCGAGGTTGGAAACCTCAAGCAGCAGAACAGTGTACTGGAGGTTGAGCTGAAGAGCTTGAAGGGAGAGGTGAAAGAGTACAGGTTCAGAGAGACCAGGCTTCTCACCGACTACTCGGAGCTAGAGGAGGAGAATGTTCTGCTTCAGAAACAGGTTTAATCTAGACTTCATTTACATGTTGACCAAAATAGCAAAATACTAATCGAAATATGAGAAAACTCGGAGTGTCTTAAAAAGAGAAATTAAAATATTAAATAAATGTATCTTTTTTTGTATAGACGTCAATATATTATTTATGCTACCAACAATTGAAACTATTTTCTGAATACTAATCTTCAAATATATAAATTCTTGTAAAGCTATCTAAATTTTTTTTCAATATTTAATTATAAATATATTTTACCTCCAACATGCATCAAACAAATATTTAATTATTTGATATTTTATTAAATTTCTTGGATTAGTTCGGTATATTTTTAACTTATTTGCTGTCTGGACAAATTATTTGAGTCTTAAGTTTAAGAGTGTACTTTAAGACAAATATGAAGGTTAAAACTATAAACTAAAGATAAAATTCATTGAAATGAATTTTTGTACGGTTAACACACCNATTTTTTTATATAAAACATCCTTATTCATAAACTTTATGATACAAAACCAGGGGTACGATACTTATTTTTTATATAAAACATCCTTATTCATAAACTTTATGAGATTGAAATCCGAAATCCTTGGTTTACGTAAACATACAATCAACTCTCCCTCTCTGCGACCGTTAGAAAATAAGAAATATATTCCGATAAAACGATATTTTGATTTGTAACCTTTTCTATTTCAAGGTTTCTGGTTTACGGAGTACTACAGTTGAATTCGAGGGAGCTAAACATGAGATTAGACATTTAACTGAGGAGCTGGAGCTAGCAAACTCTCAAGTCGAGGAGCTCACAAACCTCAAGAAGATTGCGGAGAAGCAGCTTGAGGAAGCTCTTGAATCCCTTCAGGTAACAAGATTTTATTCCTCTTTCAATCCAATTCTTCACTTTAGAGCGAAATCCTATGATCTCCATGAGCCTAAATCTTCTATATATTTACTTTGCTTGGGTGGTTTGTGTTTGTTAAGCTGTTTGTATCCAATAAACGTCAAAACGGCTGAACCAATCGAGTCCAAAATTTTTAAGGCAAGTCACATGATTCCAGGGAAGGTTTACGGCTGGTCGGAAGTTGACAAATTTTGTCTGAAACATTTTCATCAATCATTTTTCATAAAATTGCGATTAAAAATTGCGACTTGTCGAGTTCAAAGCTAGAATTGTTAAAGCGCCCTAGAAGCCTTGTATGAAATGAACTGCTGAATAATATCCCTTATACAAGAAATATTCAGTTTTGTTGAACTCGAGTTTTTAATTCAATTTTTGAACGAAGAAATTTGATAATATCAGATGTCTTAAACAAAGAATTAATTAAGTTTTTTGTTTCATCAAATATATTCCTTATACATTAAGAATTAGGAAGAACAAATGAAGACAGAATTTGACTTTTAAAAATGAGTTTTCTATATATTTTGTTATTATCAGGCTGAGCGTGAGCAGAGGTATGCACTGAAGAAGGAGTTGGACACTAAGAACAACTCCGAGTCCATGTTTCAGCTGGGAAACCTCGCCCTCTCTATTCAGGGGATGACGGAGTCCGGGGCTCCAAGCTCCATGGGGAGCGAGGGAGACGAGGAGGCTCCTGTCTTCAAGAAGAAAGGAGAGGACGGGGAAGATGGAGATGGAGTTCCTGAAGATTCTGCTCCAGCCGAAGATCTCTTCTCAGAGATTCATCTCGGTCAGCTGAAGAAATTAGAGAAACAGTTAGAATCCAGTGAGTCGGAGAAACAGAACCTCTCCGTTAACGCTAAGGAGATGCAGACAACCCTGGAGAAGGCGATCAAAGAGGCGGCCCAACAAAAGTCCATGGTGGCCGAGCTGATGGTTTACCTCGCGGGACTTGACAAGCTTACTGCAGATGAAAACGCTCGTCTGTCCGCTGTAGTAATGTCGGAGGTTAAAGATGTGACCGGAGTGCTTGAAAAACATAGAACCTGGCAATCTGTTTGTGTCTCGGAGTTAGAATCTATAAAGAGCAATCTAAAGAATTTCAAGTTAGAAGACAAGACGACTTACGATTCCGTGCTGAGGTTGAAGAACGATTTAGCTGAGCAGCGTCACCAGATGCAGGTGCAGGAGAAGAACTTGATTGATCTAAACCACGACATCAAGATTATGGACAGTTTGGCAATCGAGTCCCAGACGGCTCTTGGTCAGGTTCAGAACGAGCTCTCTAATGTTACCGAGGAGCTTGCTAAGATTTATCATCACATTTGCACTGCAAACAATATCACTCCATCCAGAGTTATGCTAGAACATTCCAAAGGTAAAACATCAGAAATATGTAAATAAGTTCCTAAGATTAAGTTTACTGATAAAAATAACTTTATATTTCATTTTAAAAATAAAACACATTTTTAGGTCCTGAGAGAAAAAGTTCGTCGAACGAGAAAAGTTCTCCAACCTATAGTCCTTCAAAGATGGAAATCCTTCGCTCCAAACTGAAGACCGTCCCACATACTGCGGACAGTTCGCAGTTCGGAGATACCGCTATCGTTAAAACCAACCTTGCTACAGTTAAGGATCAGCTTAAATACTTGAAGGCATCTATTGAGTCCTCTTTAGAGCTGTCCAAGAAGAAAATGTCGACAGGAAGTGTCCCGTCTGACAGTGAAAACTCGACGGCCGAGATTGACCTCCAGGAGACTCAGGAGCAGGTTGTGAAGCTCAAGAGTTTGTTGTCCACAAAGCGGGAGCAGATTGCAACCCTGAGAACCGTCCTTAAAGCGAACAAGCAAACTGCAGAGCTTGCACTCAACACATTGAAGTCTAAATATGACACCGAGAAATGTATTGTCAGTGATACGATGCTTAAACTGCGAAATGAGCTCCGACTTCTCAAGGAAGATGCTGCAACCTTTTCTACTCTGCGCGCCATGTTTGCCGCGCGATGCGAGGAATACAGTACTCAAGTCGACGAAATGCAGGTTTGATAGTTTGTTCAATAAAACGTACAAGATAACCAATTTTTTTTGCTAAAATAATTATTTTGTTTTGTTTAGCGCCAGCTCAGTGGTGCAGAGGATGAGAAAAAGACATTGAATCAGTTGCTGAGGATGGCAATTCATCAGAAGTTGGTTCTCACACAGAGACTGGAGGACATTGAGATGCAATCAGAGTACAGACCTACCACGGTAATTAGAATGATTTATGTACTAGCGTGATTTTATTAGAACATAGCTAGAAAGTACAGGGAGTTGCAGAGAGTAAGGAACAAAACTTGTAAGAAGGAACTGGAACAACAAACTAAATGGATGAAAGGGCAGAACCATTAATTAAAGATATACGGTTGGGAAGCAGGGTTGGCATGAAAAAATCCAGCCCCCCCCCCAAAAAAAAAAAAAAAAAAATCCAATAAAACCCATTTTAAAACACCCACCTATAAGTGGGTTTTTTTGGGTTTTATTGGGTTTTTTTAGAATCTTTTTTTAACAATTGCCCGTTTTTTCACTCTAATAATGATAAACTCTTTAAAAAATAAGGTCCACTATTAACTCTATTGATTTTTAGGGAATATACAGCACTAAAACTGACACATTTATTCTTTTCTCATGCGTTTTCAAAATATGTTGCGATAGAGTAAGGATATGAAATCCCTTTATCATGCTTGCTTATGTGTGAGTGATCTGAAGTTTTTCGGTATTTAACGGTAGTCTTCCCTCTTAAGCATAGGAATATCTACCGATTAATCTGAGCCCCACCCCCAATCAGAAATATGTATTGTGGAAGGAAGGGAAGTTGCAAGTAGTTGTTGAAATTATTAACCATTTTCAGGGCGGAGGACCAAGGCGTGGAAATAGAAAAAGTAGCGGATATGGCGGAAGCGGAGGTCGAGGAAGATCTGGTTACAACTTTCAGGGTCAACGATAACCGCCGCCATATTGGTAAAGGCGGCCATCTTGTCTCAGAACTCTGGCATAATTTAGTGTTTCTTCGTGTGAAAGGTTAAGATAGACACTGGATACCAAAACTAAACTTCCAATCAACTTGTCTCAAGTAATTTATTTAATCGTCCGTAATCTAGGGGACGATTTTATTTGTTAATTCAACCAGTTTCTTTCGAAAAGACGACTGGAAGAGAAATGTAATCTCTTGTTAGATAGTTAAAAATTTGCATTTGACTTATAACTATTGTTTTATTCCTTTTATGATTTTATTTCTTATTTATTTTGTTTATTACCTTAGAAACCTTCCTAACTAACCCAATTTTATAATTTTTTTATTTGACGTATTCACCGAATCCACGGAGAGGTGTTATGAAGTTGTGTACATAGTTTTCTAACCCACATCTACCATGATATAGTTCTGTACATATTATTGTCTTATTTATAACTGTTAATCTTTGTTCATCTAATATTCTTAACTTAGTATTTACTAAATGTATTGTGTATATAGAAACAACTAATTATGTAATGAAATGATATTATGAAATATCTTAAAATGCTTATGTACAATATTTGTGAAAATAAATTTTAAATATTTTTTTCACCCTGTAACTCCATTTGTGAATTATAACCCACACTGTATTTTCCCCTCAGTCTGATAAAAGCGTCTACGTCTACCCTATCCAACATTTTTCTTTGTCTGCAGAAATTGCAGGAAAAGTGAATCTCTGTGCAAATATTTTTTGCTCCGATTTTATTGGTTGAAATTACATCACGTGATGTATCCTCAACTCCGCAAAACCTGGTTGGAAACAAACATGAGGCTGGGATCTCCCTTGGGTCGNGGAAATTTGGCAACTTTGAAGAAGGGGAACTTATAAATTTGGCAAAGAATGGTTTTATGACAGAACTGTATGGGGAAAAGTTTTAAACCAAATCTTTACAACAACCGTTCTTTACCCTTGACAAACCACTTATTCTCTTTACTTCAAATCAACCTGTTTTTAATCTTGATTAGTTTTTATGTTTGCTTGTCTGTCCGTTTGTCATTAAACGTCAAAACGACTAAATCGATCCGGCCCAACCCTCACAGAACCCCAGGAAAGGTTTATGGATTGCCAGAAATTAAATAAAATACCGTAAAAAAATCTATTTTTCAAAATCCATGAAAAAAATTGAAAAATCCGCAAAATTGCCTGCTATTGTTTGATAATTTAAAGAGAGAAAATTTTGCAGAAAGAGGAACAATTAGAAGTTAAATACGCGATCTGGAAGCCTTGTACATTGTACAATATACAGGTGTCCCAAAAAATATGGAAATTCAGTGACGAATTCGATATCGTCTTTGTTATGAATTAGCATTGTAATTCCTAATTTCAAAAGCCATAATATTATTATGTCTGCTAGAGTTTATTTTATGAAAAGGGTAAGAGACTGTAAAGATGTGTCTATAATGTCTCCGCATGGTTTTGTCCACAAAGTAAATTTTGAACCGTCCCTTATCAGTTAATGTTTTGAATAACTTTATGATTTATACCCATTGAATTATCTTCAACATTAAAGTTAAAAAACGTAAATGTAAAAAAAACCTTAATGACCTTCTTTTTCTCTTAGAAAGGCCAGTTGTTTTTTCACCAGGCAGGTCTTCCTTCGGATATAAGAAAATAAAAGATTATTTCCAGAACTTTCTTGCAGAATAAAAAGTAAATGTTTTTGTAAAATAATCAAGGTAATTATTTTCAACTTTGCAGATTAGTCTCAATCCGACTAAAATATATTCATTCATAAAGTTTTCATGAATTGAACAATGAAACAGTAGAGCTTTACGATAGAAAACCAGGGGTACGATACTATTTTTATATATAAAACATCCTTATTCATAAACTTTATGATACAAAACCAGGGGTACGATACTATTTTTTATATAAAACATCCTTATTCATAAACTTTATGATACAAAACCAGGGGTACGATACTATTTTTTTATATAAAACATCCTTATTCATAAACTTTATGATACAAAACCAGGGGTACAATACTATTTTTTTATATAAAACATCCTTATTCATAANATGCTCTGTATAATATCCTGCTCTATATACCATTCTTCTCTATATACCATCCTGCTCTATATACCATCCTGCTCTATATACTTTCCTGCTCTATATAACGTCCTCCTCGATAAATCATTCTTCTTTTTAATACATTCTCCTCTATATATCATCCTTCTCTATATACCATCCTTCTCTATATACTATCCTTCTCTATAAACCATCCTTCTCTATATACTATCCTTCTCTATAAACCATCCTTCTCTATGAATCATTCTTCTTTATAAGCCATTTTTCTCTGTAAACCATCCTTCTCGATTAACCATTCTTCTCTATGAATCATGCTGCTCTTTAAACCATTCTTCTCTATGAATCATGCTGCTCTTTAAACCATTCTTCTCTATGAATCATGCTGCTCTTTAAACCATTCTTCTTTATAAACCATCCTGCTCTATATACCCTTTTGCTCTATATACCAATCTTCTTTATAAACCATCCTTCTTTATAAACCATCCTTCTTTATAAACCATCTTTCTTTTTTATCCATTCTTTTCTATGAAACATTCTCTTGCTTCTAACTAATGCTGTTTCTATCTTTCTCTATTCCTCTGAGAAACTATTTCCGTAAATCTAGAATTTTAAACCGGGAAACGGGAAAGAGTAAAGATCCGTTCTTTGTTCAGGTTTCTAGGTTTCTTTGTTGTTGTCAGGTTGAAAGTATTTTCTCCGAGAACCTAGGGAACCACTTTACTCCGTGCTCTTTAAGAGTTCTATTAAAATTTCAAATATTTGGAAAACTTTGCTAGTTTGAGCACGGACGTAATGTATGAATTCTTTTCACTGCAGTGGGAGAATAAGGAAGAGAAATGGGGAATTTTTCTGTGTAGAAGACGGTACCTGGAGTAGGATGAATGCAGGTATCCTTTATACATTCCTGGAATTCCTCAGCTTATCGATATACCTTTCAGTCCAATTCAACTGTAGTTGGGAGTGTAAAGTTGGAATGTTCCATTTCTCCCTCAATTCTGAAAGTTTACAAATGAGAATTGACTCGTCCTGAGATATTTTATCCTAAATCTAATTCTTGTGATAATGTTTGGTGATCCTCATCCGTCCATTACGAGCCCGTCAAGGGTCGTTGTTTGATCAGAAAACGACGGTTTTAGATCAGATCTTGGCCCGGTTTTGTCTTAGTGAGGGGTTTTCAGATGGTAAATTTGTTGCTATGGTCGGCAAGGGCCAGCCTCGGTCCTGCCCCGTCAGCCTTCAGTACCCCACCACTACTTCAGCCTCAACTTTTACATTTTAAATCTCCCAGAAATGGCGGGACGGTTGGATAAAGGAAGAAGGTGCCATCGCACGGAATCCAAAAAATATTTTTTTATAAAAACTTTGATGAATTTGATGAAAAATAATCTCAGTACTGTTTTTAAAGGAAGGGAAAATAAGTGATAAAAAACTTTTTTTTATGAAAATTATTTTTATCAAGAGCCGGACTAGGGAGCAAGAACGATGAAATTCGGAGCTGTGTGCACGGTTCGAGCGCTGCACTCCGGAGCATCGGAGGTGCAGCGGCGCGCGGTGCACCTGACGATTTATCAGGGTGCACTCGAGAGCAGTTTCTTTCAAGCACAATCCCAACCATTCCAACCCCGGCATCGGAGGAGAGGTTTACTATGTGCGGAGAAAATTTTACGACGGACAATTCTTATGATTGAACCGATGTACACGAAATGGTTTGATAATGTGAGACCGCAGTACTGACAGAAACTTTAATCAGTAATACAGTTATATGTATAGATAAATGGATCGAAATTTTCGTGAACAAATACTTAATTATTTACTTCTATTGTTAACAAACAATTGAGATAAAAACCTTTCCTTTCGATAGAAATAAACTCTTAAAAGTAAAGTTATAAATTAAAATGATAGAAATAAAATCGGAAACTTTCGAGACTGAGGAGAAGGAAGATGCTGAGGAAACGAACCGAGAAGACAACGGAAAAGAAGAAGAAGAGGAGAAGGAGGAGATGAACAATAACGATATAGGGGAGAATATTGAAGTGAAAGAGGAGGATGAGAGGGATGGGGTTGAAGATGATGATGATGGAGGAGAAGGAGGAGGAGGGATGAGTCCTATGGAAACCGCAACCCTGCTCCTTCTATCCAGGATTGCAATGTTCAACAAGGTAAGCTTTGTCAATTCTTTTCATTCTGAAGATACATTGAAACAAATCCGCCACGCGACAAACCATTTTATATTCGTTCTTTCCCAACTTTAGATGTAACGTAAACAATATCTTTAACGTTTGCCTTTCTTAGTTCATGTATTTCCACCCGTCCTATTCAAATCTTGACACTAAATAAAAGGGTGATAAAAATCTACAATTTTGAAAAGGAATGTAAGAAAGGATTTTAGGGTAGAGAACTAGTTAAATGAACTATGCTTCTAGGACGCGAAGTTATTTTTTTAATATTGCTTATCCTGCAACTGCGTTTTATTTTTTCCAAAATCTGATCATTTTCATGTTTTTGTTGGATCTTCAAAATTTCTGAAAAGATAATGTGTTCCAGGTGACATTATTGAAGTTTAGGCTTAACATTTTTGTGAAGGTCCAACTGAAATTCGGTTCAGTCGTTTCAACGTTTAAACAAACAGTCAAAACACATGATTATAAAGTTAGAATTAACAAATTGAATAAAAATAAGAAGTGAATTAAGTTTTACCACAGTCCCGAAATATCGGTATTACAATCACACTGCAGTTCATCATAAAATGTGAAAAATACAGAAAAAACTCATTCTTCTTAAAAGATTTATGTGATATATGTATCCTTCGTGCCTCTTTTGCGATTTAAAAATTCGCTCAGATTTGTATCTTTTGTCAATGGTAACATTAATTGTGTTATACCTTGAGAATTCGGGTGGAAAAAAAAGACCAGGAAACTTTGCTCTACATAACTCAAAACTCGTCTGCTAGATTGATGAATATTCTAGAATATATAAACTCGTCTGCTAGATTGATGAATATTCTAGAATATATAAACTCGTCTGCTAGAGTAGCAAGCATTCTATAATAAGTAAACTCGTCTGCTAGAGTAATGAATATTCTAGAATAATAAACTCGTCTGCTAGAGTTATGAATATTCTAGAATATATAAACTCGTTTCTTAGAGTGATGAATATTCTAGAATATATAGACTCGTCTGCTAGAGTTATGAATATTCTACAATATATAAACTCGTTTCTTAGAGTGGTGAATATTCTAGAATATATAAACTCGTCTGCTAGAGTAGCAAGCATTCTATAATAAGTAAACTCGTCTGCTAGAGTAATGAATATTCTAGAATAATAAACTCTTCTGCTAAAGTAGCAAGTATTCTAGAATATATAAATTCGTTTGCTAAAGTAACAAGTATTCTAGAATATATAAACTCGTCTGCCATAGTACCATATCAGCTACAGTGACGATTATTCTAGAATATATAAACTCGTCTGCAAGAGTGAAGATTATTCTAGCATATATAAACTCATATGCTAGAGTAACGATTATTCTAGAATATATAAACTCATCTGCTAGATTAACGATTATTCTAAATTATAGAAAATCTTCTGCTAGAGTAACGATTTTTCTAGAATATATAAACTCGTTTGCTAGAGTAAAGATTTTTCTATAATATATAAACGCTTTATTAGCGATTATTAAGTATTCCATAAGAAACGAAACTGGTCCGCTATCAGAGTAATTGTACTTATGTAGAATAATAGAAATTGAAACAAGATTCGAAACGTTTTGAAATCCCGTTTTCCGGAGATTGAAATTTTAGGTCCCCTTTTTACCCTGATCCAGGTATGAATATTTTCGTTTCAAGTTTAGACAGCCTTGCGTAAAAACTGTAAATCCGAATTTTTTAAATTGTAACCATCCATATACCATTCCTGGGCACACTCCTTTGCCGTTTTATTTAGTAATTGTAAATTGGCGGTACAGTCCAAATTAGAACTGCAAAGGTTGGCCCAGATCGGATATGTAAAAATTTTAGGCATGATCGGTTCAGCCGTTTTGACGTTTATTGGATACAAACAAACAAAATAGATTTCATTATAGTCTGGAGCTCCATATCTCCAAAAAGATCTAAAATACGTAAATTTAATGGATTGAATTTAAACTATCTATCTATCCCGTGACTATTTTACTCTTGTTTAATTCAAAATGATAAAGCTTCAACCAAATAATTAAACTGTATTCATTCATAATTTTAATGTAATCACATGTAATCACATGTAATCACATGTAATCACATGTAATCACATGTAATCCAAAGGTTGCGAGCTCTCATGCAAAACTCGATTAGAATTTTCTCAAATTTCTTCCTAAAAACCAAAGCTAAAATCAAGTGCTTTAAAGTTCTAAATTGTAGAAGTGTAGGGCTACAAACTGTTTTTGAGATTTAACGGACAATGCTGAGCACTTCTGCTTGTTATAAATAGAATGGACGTGATTAATCCCCACTGTAAATGTATATTGGTATCTCTTTGCAACCTGAAGGTTAAAACCTTTGGTATTTAAAGATAAAAGGAAAAATAGCTAAAATCGTAATTTACGACCAAGTGCGGGTAAACGGCGAACCTGGGCAACGCTGGGTGTCCACTGTCCAAGCTAGTATGATATAAAGTTGCTACCGGTTTAATTGGTGTATAAGACATTTTATTAAAATTCTCAGTAAAATCTTTTTTAAACATAATGAGAGATTGGTAACTATTTCAAATATACTTTTTATATTATATGAAATTTTACAATATATCTCCATTTGAGAAAAGAAACTCTATATTTTTCATGTTAAATTTTATTTAAAAAATTTAATTAATTTCAAGTTAAAATTTGTCTTTGTTTACATTATTTTTAAATAGTTTATGTACAGAATAGAATCTTTATGCACAGAATCGTTTGGTTCAAATACAATCTTTGAGGTACAAATTCCCGACCATTAAAACCTTATTTTTTAGCCTTGGATATGAAGATTTAAAATCAGCAAACCACATGTTTCCAACTTCAGTTTTGAAAAAGTAATTGGCAAAATCCTGAATATGAATATTTTAGTTTGTGGCACAAAATAGAATCATTCAGAGCTGAAAACTTTAGAATGGTGGATATTGATATTAATGCTTGATCCTCTCTTTTTCTTAATATCGAGACTAAATTAATCTTGTACTTGTATCCTGAGAAGTGTATAAAATTTAACCAATCAGAGACTCAAAGTCACTTACAGGTAGCCGATAAATTTGAAATTTTGAGCGCCATTTAAGATTTATACAGAAACAAGAGGGACTCTCTAAATTAAAAAAAAACTGTTTTTGAGCTTTCTATACTTTATCCAATAAGATTAAGAAGAAAATCAGAAGTGTGTCCAATGGATACTCAGATTAAGTTATTGGGAATAGGGATATCTAATTCTAAAGTTTTCAGCTCAGGTAATATAATTTTTTAGGTAAATAATAGATCTTTTAGGTGCATAATAGTATCTATTAGGTACGGAATAGAATCGTTCAGGTACAGAATATATTTCTTAAGTAAAGAAAAAAATAAATTTTGTTGTTAAAGAGTAAATCTTTTAGGTATAACAGAAAATATCTTTTAGGTACAGAGAAGTATCTTTCAGGTACATGAGTAATAGTATCTATTGGTACAGAGTAGTATCTATTGGTACAGAATATAATCTTTTAGGTACAGATAAGATCTTTTTGGTACAGAATAGATCCTTTAAATACAGTATAGAATTTTTTTAAAGATAAAAATATAGAATAGAAACAAAATTTTATGTCCATCTGTTAGGTAGAGAATTAGAGAATATATATATTTTGTGAAGAATATCTAGAACAGTATCTTAATGCAGACCCATAATAAATGATTAGATTAAATTGGAATAGATTAAATTAGATAAGGTTGGAATAGATAAGATTAGATTAGATCGGAAAAGATTAAATTAGATAAGATCGGAATAGATTAGATTAGATTGAAATAGATTATATTACATTACATAAGATTAGATTGGAATATATTAGATTAGATTAAATAGATTAAAACTTGATTGATCTTAAAAGCTTTATACAATAAGTTGTAACAATATTCTAATACTTTTAACTTAAAAAAAAATAATTAACGTTTTGATTAAAAAATACCACTAAATATGTTATTTTCAGTGACTTTCTCGGACAAAATTAATAATGTAAGTTAAAAAAAATAATAATTTCCATTTTTAGAAGAAATAAATTTATTTTTTGTAGCTAATTAATTAATCATACAAAAACTTAAACATAAAAATATTTTATGTAAAGAAAATGAGAAACCAAGAAGAACTAAAAACCGAAAATTCTGTCTTTAAAACACAAACAAAAACATTTAAAAAAGAAAAAAAAAACTGCAATCTTTCAAAAATTTGACGTTACCATTTATCGTTTGTTATATTATTATATACTAGGCTTTTAGGGCGCTTCGGACCGATCTTCCATTTTAATTGTAAACATCTTTTTGTATACATTTGAAATTCAAATTTAAAAAATTTCGCGGATTTAAAACAAATATTTCATCGATTTTCATACTTTTCTAAACAAAGAATTTTGTCAGAGGCAAATTTTTGATAATTCGATCATTCATTAAAATTTGGGCCCGATCGGTTCAGTCGTTTTGACGTTTATTGGATACAAACGGACAGACAGACAATCAAAGTATATATAGAAGACGATTACATTACATTAAACATTATTTGTAGACCTTTTTGGTACAATTGTTTTCTCACTTGAAGTTCTGTGATCTACTGCAACAAAGATATTTTTGTGGAGAAAGTAAAGACGACAAATTTATGTATCTTCTACAGGGTTATTCACAAAGGATGAGACTGTAAAGACGACCTAAAACTCTATAAATATTGGGATTCTAAAGCTGAATTAAGTCTTCTCATTATTAAAGTCGTTCAATGGCTTATTTATGGATTTGGCAAAGAAATAAACAAGTTAAGAGTTGCAGGGAGTTATGAATATAAGAAAACAGACAGTATACATTTACTAAAGTCGTCTCTGAAGTGTCATCATCTGTGAGTTACCCTGTATATATGCTGTGAGTTACCCTGTACATAGGCTGTAAGTTACCCTGTACATAGGCTGTAAGTTACCACGTATATATGCTGTAAGTTACCCTGTATATATGCTGTGAGTTACCATGTATTATGCTGTGAGTTACCCTGTATATATGCTGTGAGTTACCCTGTATTATGCTGTGAGTTACCATGTATATATGCTTTGGGTTACCATGTATTATGCTGTGAGTTACCATTTATATATGCTGTGAGTTACCATGTATTATTATGTGAGTTACCCAGTATTATGCTGTGAGTTACCATGTATATCTGTTGTGAGTTACCATGTATTATGATGTGAGTTACCATGTATTATGCTGTGAGTTACCCTGTATATATGCTGTGAGTTACCCTGCATATATGCTGTGAGTTACCCTGTATATATGCTGTGAGTTACCCTGTATATATGCTGTGAGTTACCCTGTATATATGCTGTGAGTTACCCTGTATATATGCTGTGAGTTACCCTGTATATATGCTGTGAGTTACCCTGTATATATGCTGTGAGTTACCCTGTATATATGCTGTGAGTTACCCTGTATATATGCTGTGAGTTACCCTGTATATATGCTGTGAGTTACCCTGTATATATGCTGTGAGTTACCCTGTATATATGCTGTGAGTTACCATGTATTATGCTGTGAGTTACCCTGTATATATGCTGTGAGTTACCATTGTGAGTTGTGCTTTGGATATAAACTATTTTGTTGATCTTAAAAAGGGGAGGATCGTTCCCCCAGCTTGTTAAAAAATGTAATGAGAATTGGATTTATCAACAATAAGTATGTTTACAATGCTAATAATTGTGAGAAAAAAAATCAACTTATATACGACGAATTTTTTGCAGTTTTCTTAAAAACCTTCCTAAACCCGTATTATCTTTTTCACTTTGTGTTCTAACATTTCCAAAATGGGCTGGACACTTTTTTAAATCAAATTAAATCAATTATTAAACTCTTTTCAATTTGATTTTGTTAATTATTCCAGCAGAATTCCAATCATTCTTTTCGCGGGCTAAATGTGAAAATGAGTTCTAAAGGTATTTCAATGAACACAAATATGTTTAACTATTATTTGGCATGAAAACTTTATTTCAGTTTTACATACAGTATGGAGGGAGGTGTAGAGTAAAACCCGTGATATACTATTATACATTTATATGTATATCATCGCCAGCGTACTGCAAACTGTAAAAGTAAATATATTTATTCAAGCAGTAAAAATTAAAAATATATTTAAACAAATTTGGCGAGATTTTGAAGTCGAATTATGCGCGCATTACAACAAGTTTTCCCTTTCCATTACTTTTTTTAAAAGTTAGGAAAATGAAATATTTAATGTTATGTTTAATTTACCCACTGCTGTTACAAATAGTGTTTAGTTTTTGAATAAATTCCAGAACTTCTGATTATAATGAAATTATTTGAACTGGGGTTCACCATATAAGACTGGGTAAGTTTATTGTTCCTACGAATTTTGAACCACCATAATGTCCAGCCAATTACTAAATATTTGAACCAATAATGCCCAGTTTAACTACTAAATATTTGAACCAATAATGCCCAGTTTAACTACTAAATATTTGAACCAATAATGCCCAGTTTAACTACTAAATATTTGAACCAATAATGCCCAGTTTAACTACTAAATATTTGAACCAATAATGCCCAGTTTAACTACTAAATATTTGAACCAATAATGCCCAGTTTAACTACTAAATATTTGAACCAATAATGCCCAGTTTAACTACTAAATATTTGAACCAATAATGCCCAGTTTAACTNTACTCTCTACTTGAAGTGAGTCTCAAAAAACATGATAGATTTTTGTTCACCATGTACGCAGGGTGTGGGAGGGGAAGGTGGTACTTGAACTAAATACTAGATTCTTTCCTAATATTCCCTCTTGATGAAACTAAATACAGGATATTTAAAAAGTTTTTAAAAAATGTCAACCAAGTCAGGTATTATTAAACTGATCCATACTTTCCACAAAGATTTGAGAAATATTCGGGGATTTTCAGAAAACACAGGACAATATGAGTAAAACTTCTATAACTTTGTATATGATATAGGTCTAGTTATATTTAACTCTAGGAATTAGGACAGCATAGTTGTAATACTGTCGAGTTGGGATAAGGTTTTCTGGTTCAAATCAAAAAATAAAATATAGTTAAATTTCTAACCAAACATTTATCTTCTAATATATCTCCAGGATATAATATATTATATATAACCCTTGAGTACCCCGGGGGTAACAGCGACTAAAAAAATCCCCAATTTTTTTTTAAATCTAATTTTAAAAATCTGATTTTAAAAATTCCACGGGCAACGCCGGGCAATCCAGTTAGTATCTAATATAACTCTAGTATATACTATATTTCTAACTTCTAATCCAACTCCAGGATATAATATATTTCTAACTTCTAATCCAACTCCAATATATAATATATTTCTAACTTCTAATCCAACTCCAATGTATAATATATTTCTAACTTCTAATCCAACTCCAATATATTATATATTTCTAATTTCTAATCAAACTCAAATATATTATATATTTCTAATTTCTAATCCAACTTTATCTGGGATTTAATATTTGGCTAACTATTACTACAGAATAAATAAATATATTTTTAACTCTAAATTTAACTCAGGTTTTGCTATAATTAAGAGCAAAAATACAACAACTTCTAAAACCAAATAATCAAAACTCGGGAAAACCTGAAAAATGTGTAAGTGTTTTTTGAAAAAGGTATTATCAATTTTCAAGATTTTTGTATATTGATCAAAGTTTTCATTAATATAAAATTTATATTTTCGTTTAGCATTAACTAGTACTCAGCCTATCCTACTTTGTCCTGTTATCAGCCTACCCTTCCGCCTTTTTCGTCCTACACACTTCGTCCTGTTCACTTCATCATGTTTCCTGCGTCATGTTTACTCAATGATTTTTACTGCGGCCTGTTTACTCCATAAATCCTGTTTACTGTGTCCTGTTTACTCTATCCTGTTTATGTCATTATGTTTATGTTTATGGCGTCCAGTTTTCTCCATCTTGTTCACTCCAACCTGCTTAGTGCGTCCTGTTTACTCCATCCTGTTTTCTCCATCCTGTTTATCGCGTCCTGTTTACTCTATCATCTGTATTGCGTCCTGGTTACTCTATCCTGTTTAATCCATCATGTTTACTGCGTCCAGTTTTCTTCATCCTGTTTACTCTACCCTGCTCACTGTGTCCTGTTTTCTCCATCCTGTTTACCGTGTCCTGTTTACTCCGTCCTGTTTACTCCATCATGTATACTGCGTCAAGTTTTCTCCATCCTGTTTACTTCATCCTGTTTACTCCCTCCTCCTAACTAAGTCCTGTTTACTCCGTCCAGTTTACTCCATCCTGTTTACTACATCCTGTTTACTGCGTCCTGTTTACTTTATTTTGTATTCTTTTTATCCATCCTTTATTTTGTCCTTCTCAAATCCGTCCTATTTTGTCCTGCTCAAATCCGTCCTATTTTGTCCTGCTCAAATCCGTCCTATTTTGTCCTGCTCAAATCCGTCCTATTTTCCAACCCTACTCCCTAGAGTCGAAAGAAAAGTTTCATATTGAAGAAACATGAAGGAAGACATTTAAACTTGTTATTTTCTAAATCGTTTCTTACACTCCTAACAAACTATACAGAACACGGAAAAAGTAAATTTACTTATAATAATTGTTTGCCGTTAACACCTTTGGGCAATTTTTAAAATTAAATCTACGAATGAATAAATCTTAAATAAAAAATCAATAGTGTAGACTGAAGATACATATTAAAATGCCAAGAATACGTAAAATAAAAAATTTAAAAAAATTAAGTATTTTAAACCGGAGAAAGAATAAAAAAATAGAGTAAGATTTTAAAAAAATATTTTAATATTTTAAAAATTATCATTAAATGATATTTAACTGAAGTCAAATATTTTCAAAAATATTTCTATTTTTTGCAAATTTAACTCAAATGTTGAGAAATTAAAGGTAGATGAAGCAAAATATTTTGCAACGATAATTGGCAAAGATTAGATTTCGTTTTTATAAAATGTCAAACCCACCCCTCAGCTGAGAAAACATCGGAGGGTTTTCGCGAAAAATTGAAACAATTGACATTTTGTTCAATTATCGTGTGCTGCCAGTTTCTTAATTAATCTAAAATGTAAAATAATTAATTCAAGGAAGAAAAGGTTGAAGGGACATAGTGAATTTTAAATGATCGGATCAGGATTAAATAATTTAAACTGCATTTTTCTTACCAAGGATTCTGATTACACTGATACAGGGTGTCCTGGTACAATTTCATTTAAAAAGTTTTGCGGGAAACCCTTTAAAGAAAAAAATGTTTTATTAAAATAATCTCTATAATAGTTCTCTTCGCTCATGTAAATATATTTTTATATTTATTTGTTAGCTTTAGCTGGGCAAACGGCCGGACCGAATGGGCAGACATTTTTTTAGGGAACCCATGGGCTCGGTGAGTTTTTTTTTCAAAAAACCAATTTTTTTTTGATAAAAAAAATTCCACGAGAAACGTCTGGCATTTCAGCCAGTTTTTTTTAATATTCAGGATAGTTTATGATGTAGATTTCAAATCCAGATATAAAATAAAAAGTAAATTGTCTCATCTTTTAGCAACCACTCAAAAACTGATAAAAATCTTTGTACATTTAGTGAAGTATTAAACTGTACATAAATTGTACTTCCAACACACCGGTACTATTGTAGCATGATCCGAACCAGTACAAGAAAACTAGTCTAGTCTTTACTTGTAACAGCCCGTCTAGTGTACCCAGTATGTGGTTGACAAAACGTGTTTTCTGCAACAAATGCAGGCAGACTGATCCAGTGTGCCAACTATGTAGAGTGAACCGCAATGAAATTGTTCATTAAACCATTTTGCTTGTCTATGACATAGTTTGCAATTGTTCATAATAAACAAATTGTAACATTGGTTTCAAACTTATAATTTTATTCAGCATTCATTAATATTTTCAACAAGCTTCACAAGGAATTAGAATTCAAATTCAAACAGAACTCATTCTTTTTATTAATTTATTAACCTTCGTTTATCAGACAGTGTAGAAGGGATAAAGTGAGATTGGAGGAAGTATAAGATTGGAGGAAGTATAAAATAGATAGGGGTTGAAGGAAGGATAAAAGATAAATGGGAGGATGAAGGTAGGATGACGGGAGGATCATGGAAGCATCAAGGGAGGATCAAAATAGGATCAAGGGAGCAATCAAGGGAGGATCAAGGGAGGATCAAGGGAGGATCAAGAGGGGATCAAGGGAGGATCAAGGGAGGATCCAGGGAGGATCCAGGGAAGAAAGGAGGATAAAGTGAGGTTGGGGAGGATGATGGAAGGATATAGGGATGAAGAAAGAAGGTACAGTAGGGTTGGGGGTAAAATTGTAGGTTTAAACAAACTGTTTCCAAGGAAAAATCCTAACTTCAACTCTAACATTCAATGGTACAGGGAGAAAGAAAATGTTTAAAAATGGAATTTTATATTTTTTATGCAAATATTTTAACCAGAAAAGTTAAGAAATGTGATTATTAATTATATTCTCTGAGAAAAGCTACATTTGCAGTTCTTATACAGACAATTTGTTTAAATTAAAAAATTCTACAAAAAAAATTTTCATATACATGTAAATAGTCAATTCAAATTTGTATTTTTTTAATCATCTAAGGAAGCCAAAACCAGATTTATCATAAGTTTTTTTTTAATAAAAAATTGTCCTCCCTAAACCCCTGAAGTAATGATGGTTTAGATCTTGTTCTTATATCTATGAGATGCAGTAAGATGCAGTTAACAGTCTATAAAGTTGACGCAGAGGATGCATTTACTTAACCGAAGGTCAGTCAGTGCATCCCGTCACTGCATTCTGGGGGCGGAAATGCATTTCTTATATCTGGGTCACATTCAATATATTCATTCTTTTCAGACGTTAACACTTTCTTCTCTTGGCTGAGATACTGGATTCTAAAAACAGTTGACGCAGAATTTAGAATCTCTTACTCTTCTGTATCTATTTAACCTGTATCCTTCTATTCCGGGTATATCTGTTTCCTTTATCACAGTATCCTGTATTCATGTATTCTGTGATCCCAAACCCCTGTTTTCCTGTTATATCATTGTGTTAGTGTATTCTGTATTTCTGTTTTCTGTATTCCTGTATCTCTGTATCACTGTGTTCCTGTATTTCTGTATATTTTATTCATCTTTTTAACCTTCATCGCTTTATCTTATATCCCTGTATCATGTATCCCCCTAGCTTTTTTTTGTATCCCTGTAAAATTATCCCCATTAATTTTATCCAGTAATTACTGTATCATTATCCTTGTATCCCTGTATCCCTTTATCTCTTTATCCCTGTATCCTATATTCATGTATCCCTGTATCCCGATATCCCTGTATCCTGGTTAGTAACAGAACTGCTGCATTTACTTCTATTGCAGTAGAGAGAGAGAATCCATGGAAAAGTTGGTTTGAATGTTCTTACATTCTCTCCTAGTAACAGGAGGGTTCGGGGAGGGTTCTAGGTTCTAACAGAGAGGAAACAATCTTCTCCGGGTACAGATTATACTCAAGCAAACCTCCTCAACATCAAATAAATAAATATTTTAGAAAAATTTAAACCAAACATTGTTTTTTTAGAATGCAAGCACACAAACATCAACATAATACATATATATATCTATTTACTTACATGAAATGAACTGTAGGATCCTCCCTACTTTTTACAAAGAGTTTACTATCAGGTTCCAACCTTGTTTATTTGATAATAAAAAGGTTTCTAGTTTTCATATTTCTCTTCGTCAAACTTAAATCTTTTATATTTATTTCTAACTGTGTGCCTGCACAAAGGATTCAATTTATCCCCCAACATTTCATACTTTTACCAGAGTTATATATTTCAACTAAAGTAATCTTAAATTCATTCATTCCAATCCAACCCAGGTTTGGTCCAAACTCTAGTCTTACTCCTTCTCCAGTCAAACTTCTTTTTATTCTAGCTTTAACCCGTATCCTACTCAAACTCCTATCCGTACCCCAACATCTTTTATTCTTTTCTTTTATCCTAATCCAACTCCTATCCATACTCCAACTCCTTACACTACTACAAATCCTATTCCTCCTCCAACTCCTTTCCCTACTCCAACTCCTATCCCGACTCCAACTCCTATCCCTACTCTAACTCCTTTTCCTACTCCAACTCCTATCCCGAATACAAATCCTAATCCTCCTCCAACTCCTTTCCCTACTCCAACTCCAATCCCAAATACAAATCCTATTCCTCCTCCAACTCCTTTTCCTACTCCAACTCCTATCCCGAATACAAATCCTATTCCTACTCCAACTCCTTTTCCTACTCCAACTCCTTTTCCTACTCCAACTCCTATCCCGACTTCAACTCTTATCCTATCTCCAACTCCTATCCCTACTCTAACTCCTTTTCCTACTCCAACTCCTATTCCTGTTTCTACTCATTCTAATTCAACTCCTATCCTTACTCCTAGCCTGATTTCTGAACCTACAAAGTTAACCAAAATTAAACCAACTCAAGGTTTTCGGATGAAACCACAGCTTGGTTTCGCAGCTTTATATGTCCTAATACATGAATGTATATATAAAGGAATTGAGTCTCTGTCCCAAACTCTGATTTTTTAATCCCAATATCTCTGCAACCCGATGTCGTACAACCTAGATATTTCAAACTTAAAATATTTGATCCAACAAGTTTTATAGTTTGAAATAACTAAGGTCTACAATATTGGGTTGGAAAGATATAAGGATTAGACAATCAGATTTGTGGCGAAGACTCAATTCCTTTGTCTAATTTGCTAATGCCTATAGAAATGAATTACCTTGTTTAAATTCGTTTAACAGGGACAGAAAGCTAGATTAAAACAGGACAAATTGTTGAAAAAGAACAAATCCAATCACAACTATGCAAAAAAGGTTCAATTTAGAGAATTACAATCAGAAAAAAAGCTGATCCTTGAGGAGTCGAATTCTGAGTTTTATAAAATCCTCTTATTGTTTAAATTCTTGAACAGAAAAAATGTTTCAAAGATGAAGATCTGATTGTACTTAGTTTGGATTTTAGGTCACTATTTCTAAAGTACACCACGTATTAGACATAAAGACTGTCATTACGGCAAACTGCTATTTTCTAAATCTGAATCCTCAGAGATGAAAATGGTTTGATGTGGATCATGTATTTCATTCAATCACATTAAGCTATGGGATGTACCTGGAGACTGGGAATTTAATAAATGAAATCTTAATTTAACAGGTCTCTACCAAAGAGATTGATTACATTTCAAACTACTGCAACTGTTTCAAGGTTATTGGAGAATAATAAATATGAAGTGCCCGTAGGATTTTGGAAACACGTAAAAAAAAATTTTATTAAAAAATTTTGGAATAAAATATTGGTTCTTGAAAAAAAAGTCTTTTATTCTTTACTTTGAATTAACTTCGTTGTAATGTTGCTTTAAAAGTAGCGAAATAACTGAATATTCTGATAAATGGAAATATATTTAGAATTTGAATAATGATTGATTAAAAGGTAAACTCATAGTTTCAATGAAAAAAGTAAGTTTAATATCTAAATGGGTTTAAACAAACCCACAATAAACGGTACAATTTCAAAAATGTATTTTTCCCTTCCCTGCAATTTCCGCCTTCAAGAAATGAATATTGAATAAAAATTGAAAAATATCAAAAGGAATTGAGTCTTTGCAAATGATCAGGTTCCTAAATCTTTGCAACGTAATGGTGTAAAGCTTTCATATTTCAAACTTAGATTATTTGATATTACATTTTTCATAGTTTGATTTGCAAAGATGTAAGAATCAGAAAATCTGAGTTTGTGGCAAAGCTAAGACTCGAAAAATGAAAAGAATTTGATGGTGATCTCTACTAATCTTACTTCTATCTGTTGCGTCTCTAAGGAGAAAATGGTTAAAAACGATTCATATAATGCAAATTCAGAAAGTTGCAATATTCGACTCATATCGTAAATAATTCAATTTAAATTCTTAACAAATCATTCAAATATTGCAACCTATAATCATCGAATTGAATTTTCGACGCATTCATATATAGTTGTTATTTTATAATATTTTTATTTGTTTTAAACGACGATTTTTTGTCGTCTAGGTGTCTCTCCCACGTGGAATCATAGAGGGAGAGTGGGATTTATGTTGTGTGCAATGCCACGGAAAATTCCAAAACAGAGAGAGGGGGATTGAATTTTGTAGATCCAGAAAAATAATTAAATTAGTATTTATTTAGGGTTAGGTTAGGTTAAGACACTTTCTGGGCCGAGCGCTGCGGCTAGGACAGGCTAGAACAGGCTAGGGGGCAGAGCGCTGCGGCCACGGGTTAGGATAAGTTATGACACTTTCTGGGCCAAGCGTTACGGCTAGGACAGGCCGAGCGCTGCGGCCACATGTCTTACATTTAAGACCCCACCAGCTGCCAGTCTCTACGCAGGCATCCCACAGATATTATTTTTCTGGATCTACAAAAATCAATTCCCCTCTCTGTTTTGGAATTTTCCGGGGCATTGCACACAACATAAATCCCACTCTGCCAATCATAAAAACATCGAGAGCAGAGACACCTGGCGGCCAACTAATCGTCGTTTAAATTACATTATATATAAAACAAACCGTAAGCATATACCCCCTTTCATTTTTCGCGAACACTCCCTTTAATAAAAAATATAAATATTAAGGGGATTTTGGCTTTAGAAGGTTTAGGAGGTGGAAAGAATAGTTAAAAAAGGGTTCGGGATGAGGGACAAGGGACAAGGGGGNTTCTACAATTTTGTAGAATTTGCTTGCATCTCATCTTCTTTCTGCCAAAACTTTGCCAAATTCTAATTTTTATTTGAAAATAAGACAAATATAAAAGAAAATTTCAAATTTGTTTAATCTGAAAGCTGCAAAATTCTGGGAATATTTTGAAAACTACGGAAATATATTATTTCCAAGATGGGAGGATTTATATATATTTTCAAATATCAGTAAATATATGCAATATATTTAAAATACTTGCACCTAGAAATTCAAAATGCTTCACGCCTTTTTGAGACCAATTCACCCTGTTTAATTTCATATGTTGTAACGATTCTAGAGATTTGTTTGAACAAAAAGAGATTTGTTTGAACAAAAAGAGGGTTGGTTTAACAAAAAGAGATTTTTTGAACAAAAAGAGATTTGTTTGAATAAAAAGAGATTTGTTTGAACAAAAAGAAATTTGTTTGAACAAAAAGAAATTTGTATGAACAAAAAGAGATTTGTTTGAACAAAGAGAGATTTAAAGATAAAACTTCAGAAACTACTTTTTAAAATTATCCTAATTACTGCAACGACATTGTGACCTCGTAGCTCCTCTTGTTTTAATTTTACGCACACATATGAGAACAAAAAATATATTTGCTTACACATTTTTTTTCAGCTCAATAGCTCCATGAGAAGTCACCCTCAACTAAGCCTACGGTGTGTTCTGCAGTAAATTGCAGTTCACCTACCGAAGATATAGTAGCGTTTAGTGGAGAGTGAAGTTATGATTGAATCTTAAAGAGAGAATTCGCGAAAAATGAAAGGGGTATATGTTAACGACGAAAAATAAGCGCTTTTATCGCTACTAATCTAACTTCTATCTGTTTCGTGTATAAGGAGAAAATTGTTAAAAACGACTCACACAGAAGAACGTAGCGTCCATACAAATTTGGAAAGTTGCAACATTCCATTCAACTCGCATCGTAAAATAATCAATTTAATTACTACAAAACATTCAGATATTACAAACAATAGTCATCGATTATTTTTCGACGCATTCGTATATGACGCATATAGATAATATTTCATAAAATTTTTTATTTTTTTAATAAATTTTCGCTGGCACTGGATTTTCGAACATTCCTGGAAAATATGCAAATGTCGTCTTCATTATTAAAATCCTCGAAACAGGAATATATGTTCTCAAATGTAACTCTCAGTCCATGAAAAATAACAAAAATATTATATCAACCATATACGATTGCGTCGAAAAGTAATCGATGACAATTGTTTGTAATATCTGAATGATTTGTTTGGAATTGAATTTATTTGTTCACAATCCGAGTTGAATCTTTCTGAATTTGTATGGACACTACGTTCTTCGGTATTAGTAGTTTTTAACAATTTTATCCTTATAGATGCAACAGATACAAGTAAGATTAGTAGCAATCAAAAGCGCTTATGTTTCACCGTATGTCCAACCCGCTTTCATATTTCACGAATACTCCTTTTAAGTTCATTTTACTTTATTTTAACGTGCACTTATCAGTGGAAATTAAAACGTACACTTATCAGTGGAAATTAGAACGTACACTTATCAGTAGAAATTAGAACGTGCACTTATCAGTGGAAATTAGAACGTGCACTTATCAGTAGAAATTAGAACGTACACTTATCAGTGGAAATTAGAACGTGCACTTATCAGTGGAAATTAGAACGTACACTTATCAGTGGAAATTAGAACGTACACTTATCAGTGGAAATTAGAACGTACTTATCAGTGGAAATTAGAACGTACTTATCAGTGGAAATTAAAACATACACTTATCAGTGTAAATTAGAACGTGCACTTATCAGTGGAAATTAGAACGTGCACTTATCAGTGGAAATTAGAACGTACTTATTTATAGAAATTAGAACGTACACTTATCAGTGGAAATTAGAACGTGCACTTTTCAATAGAAATTAGAACGTACACTTATCAGTGGAAATTAGAACTTGCACTTATCGGTGGAAATTAGAACGTACACTTATCAATGGAAATTAGAACGTACACTTATCAGTGGAAATTAGAACTTGCACTTATCAGTGGAAATTATAACGTGCACTTATCAGTGGAAATTAGAAAAAAAATATGTCTTGGAAATGAGAGTTTAGAATAATTTATAGAAATCTGAAAGTAACAAATTGACCAAAATTTTAGATTTCAGAATTCAGTGCCGCCAACTTTTAGTAAATTAAGCTTTCAGCTTTGAAATTGGTTTTCAAGGTGGTTCTTTTCATACCTTTATCTTTTGTGTGACAAAAATAAACATCAAATTATAAGAAATTATCTAATTACAATATTTTGAATATTTAGCGATAAAGAAAATATTGATGTACTGTTCGTATTTTATAAAATAAGTAAATATACCATACAAACCCATCTTTACCCCTTACATTTATTCTTAACCTGTGGCCGAATTTAAAGAATTTGAGCGGCGGTTTAAATTTAAGCCGCGGTTTAAATATAGTTGGTTCCACTTAAAATTGTATCAAATGTTTCAAGATTTAAGCCGGCGCTTAATTTAAACCGGGTTTTGGCGGATTTAAACCGCGGCTCAAATTCTTTAAATTCCATCTCAGGACACTCAGTCCTTTCAAAACTTTCTAAATCTGAATCCGACCATTCATATGTCTCAGCAATTCATTATTTTTGGCCTAATTGTCACCCATTTACAATTTACATTTTATGGAAACCGATCAATTTTGTATCTTTGAATTCGAACACGAAGGGCTTTGAAGAAAATAAGATATTAAGTTGAAATCATGATTTTAAGATATTTGAAAAATTTATAATTATCATGGATTTTGAAATTCGAACAATTTTTGGGTCAAGGCCTAACTATGTTCAATTTAAAATTCAAGATAAATCTTTAAATCAAATATAACCCCCCCCCCCTTCCACAAATGTGAATTTGTCAGTTCCTTCGTATCCTTTTTTCTTATTTTTTTTTCTTTCTTGCTATTTCTTTGATTTTTATTCTTTCTCTCATTCCTCTTTCCCTTGCATTTTAAAATATTGCCTAATAGTTTAAAACTTTTTTAGAATGTTAAAAAATGCATTTTCCTCTCTAATCTTTCTATTATCTCGTTTTTTCGTTTTTCCTTCATAACAGTTTTACTAAGGATTTTTTAACCGTTTTTATTTTAAGTATTAAATCACGAAACCTCTTATGTATTGTAATCTCTAATCTGTATACTTCACGCAACTTCGTCAAATTTAAAGCAGAAATGGTTTGAAACATCACGCAACCTCGAGTACCAGTTCAAGGTGGTTCTAGGCCAAACACAAGATGCTATAACGTAACTTAACCTAACCTAACTTAATAACTTACTAGACGTAAGGTATACACATTTTTTTAAACGCATCCATCGAAAAATAAGTATAAAAAAATGAAAAGGTTGCAAAATTGTTCAATATGTCAATCTTATTTTGACGCTTTAATGATGAAGCACCAATTAGGATGTTTTAGTAATAAGGACGCACACTGAGGACACGCATTAAGGACACACATTGAGGCCACATATGGAGGTCCCATACTGATGACATATATTGAGGACATCCATTGAGGACACACATGGAGGTCAAACATTTGGAGATCACACACTGAAGACATACATTGAGGACACACTGAGGACAGACATTGAGGATACATATTTAGGACACACACTGAGCACAAACACTGAGGACAGACATTGAGGACAGACATTGAGGACAGACATTGAGGACAGACATCGAGGACACACATTGAGGACAGACATTGGGGACACACATTGAGAAGACACACTGAGGACACACATTAAGTACACCCATTAAGGACACACATTGATAACACACATTGATGACACACATGGAGGAAACACATTTAGAACAGAAATTGAGGACACAGATTGAGAACACACACTGAGGAAACACATTTAGAACACAGATTAAGGAAAGTCATTGAGAAAACACACTGAGGACACACATTGGGTACACCCATTGAGGACACACACTGAGAACATACATTGAGGACCCTCATTGAGGACACACATTGAGGACACACATTGAGGACACACATTGCGAAAACACATTGAGAAAACACATTGAGAAAACACATTGAAAAAACACACTGAGGACACACATTGAAGACACACATTCAAAAAACACACTGAGTACACAAATTGAGAAAACACATCGAGAAAACACATCGAGAAAACACACTGAGGACACAATTAAAAACGCACCAATAAGGACCCACACAATACTATATATTGTAGTATCGTATAGGCACAAGGTTATTCAGTCACTAGCAAGTTCGGATAAAGGAGTTAATTTGATGAGAAAAAATATAAGTGGGTGGGATAGTTAAAAATATCTAATGCGATAATAAAAGTAAATTTACATTTATTCAGCAGAATGTTTAAAAGTCGGAATATGAGATAGTTTTTGAGAGAAAAACAGTTTAATTGCCCTCTACATTTGTTTTACAGTGTGTTTAATGTTTCTATGTATAGGGTTGGAGTGAGTTAGGGAGATAGAGGGAGCAGGTTATGTTGTGAATGTGGGAGTGGGATAGAGGGAGCAGGTTATGTTGTGAATATGGGAGTGGGATAGAGGGAGCAGGGTATGTTGTAAATGTGGATAGAGGGAGCAGGTTATGTTGTGAATGTGGGAGTGGGATAGAGGGAGCAGGTTATCTTGTGAATGTGGGAGTGGGATAGAGGGAGCAGGTTATTTTGTGAATGTGGGAGTGGGATAGAGGGAGCAGGTTATTTTGTGAATGTGTGAGTGGGATAGAGGGTGCAGGTTACGTTGTGAATGTGGGAGTGGGATAGAGGGAGCAGGTTATGTTGTGAATATGGGAGTGGGATAGAGGGAGCAGGGTATGTTGTAAATGTGGGAGCGGGATAGAGGGAGCAGGTTACGTTGTGAATGTGGGAACGGGATAGAGGGAGCAGGTTACGTTGTGAATGTGGGAGTGGGATAACTTTGCAAACTTACAACACATCTATTTTTCATTTTCGGAAATTTCCCCAAAAACTTTTTTTAGAGATTATTCACTATACCTACTTGAATAAAATCTCCAATTTGAATCCCAATCTTATCGCTCGAAGATTCTTATAATTGAGCCAAAATGTCCATACTCTCTTTCAAAATTACGTTCATTAAAACCCGGGTTTACAATGAAATTTGCAATTTAGTTCGATACTTTTTACCAAAGAACAAGTTAGTATATCATATTATATATACCATTCGAAATACAAAATAAGTACGAGTTTATATAAATTTAAAACAAATATAACGTAAATTTTTTTATTATTTATATGATCTTTCTGAAAAGTTGATAAAATCCCATTCTGTTTTCATACATTTTGAGTCATAATTTGTAAGAAACGATTGTTCCTAGGAGAATATCTTAAACATACCTACTATTAAATCTATCTACGAAACACTTAAAATGGCCTTTTAGCTCCGTTAGGCCAAAACTATGGATGTTGATAGTTAGATCGTTTTTCCGTTTTTAAACATTTTTTTGGTTTATATCTTTGATCAGAGTAAAAATTTTGCTTTGTGTAATGAAAGAAAACTTGTCTGTCTAGCCTCCAATCTCATGATATGCATCTCATATTCTTGTCTAGCTAGCGTGCAATTTCGGGATATGCATCTCATATTCTTGTCTAGCTAGCATGCAATTTCAGGATATGCATCTCATATTCTTGTCTAGCTAGCATGCAATTTCAGGATATGCATCTCATATTCTTGTCTAGCTAGCATGCAATTTCAGGATATGCTAATTAACTTTTGGATCTATGCGCATTGCGCAGCAGATACATTACTGGAAATTGAAAGAATTCCTGTCTATTTAAGACAAAACAAACCTTACAATGGGCTGAAGGGTACCGTTGTGCAATAAAGTAGTCCTTGTACGGTAATTGGCCCATATAGTGTATATGTGTACCTTAAGTATCCAAAATGCCAAATGTTTTGAATTTACCGTTCAAGTTTTGCCACCCCCAGAAGCTATTAGGGGNTTTGCCCCCCCCCCCACATTTATTTCCGTATACGCCCTTGTTCGCAATTGAAATATAAGATTAGTCTAGTAATCGTTAAAATAGTTTGATATTTGATATATATTTTATTTTTAGGTTTGTTCGGAACTGTTTACAAGATTGTTTGCCACATATGAGTACGCTTAGAGAGTGCAAAAGTTGCTGGATCCCCTGGTTTCTCAAATCAAGTATTTTCATGCTTGAATCAAAAATTGTATGACAATTAATGATTAAAAGTCTTTTAAAGCAGCCAATTTTTAGTAAGATATTCCAATATTAGTTTGACTTATTAGTGTTTAAGTTTTCCTTAAAAAGTGTAATTGAAAGTAAAGAAAGGTTATCTATTTTTTAGTTATATAAATTACCGAGATCCATGTTTAAATGAAAATAAATATTTTCAGAAATCACCCCCGAGTACTGTAATATACAGATTGACCTTTGGAAGTGAAGTACATGGCCTGTACAATTAGTAAAGGATTAGCGTACATCATCACTCTATATACTATAACCTCGTTGGATTTGGTACATGGATGTTAAACTTGGTTTATGCTTCATTCATGTTTTTTCTTAATACACTGATATCTAGACATGTCTGAAAGTTAGTCATCAACTTTTTTAGACTTTTTCTATTTTAAAGTCTCACAACGTCTTGACCTTTCGTTTTACCTTACCAACTCTCTTGTACTTTTTTGTAGCTCTAGACAAGAGCATTTAAAAATTTCAAAGTGCTTGTTCCTAGCTTAAGTTTAAAAGAACTAATTGGCAAAATACTGTTTGATTTTTGTGTGAGAGCTTGATCATCTATTCTTAGTTTGCAGTGAATATAAACTTTAAAATTACTTGATGTACTTGCAGTGTAATCAGATACATCACAAGGAAATATAAATCCTTGTTGTTTACTCTCGATCAATATTTTCATTAAGAATACTTACTATTGATGCAGAATAACCATACTTGTAACACAGATATCTCAAGCCTTCATATTTATTCTGAATATGTAATTAAGTACTGTTCTTGTTGTTAATTCTTTATGTTTTATTTTAAATTTTTATTTATTTTTTGTTTATTCTTTTTATTCTTATTACAAACCTTGAAATTACTTAATGAAGTTACAGTGTACTCAATACTCACATACGTCAAAAGGAAATATCACTCCTTCATATTTACTCTCAATATGTTCCTTGAAAATCCTTACTGTAGTTGCAAAATAACCGCACTTCTCATTTATTATGAATTCATTCGTTCATGAATTTATCAGCTCTTTACTTCTATTTCTAATATTTTTATACAAAAATTGTTTCTTATCCTAGTCAGCTCTTTTTCAACCCAACTTCACCATTTTCTTCTTCTTTTCCCCTTTCCCTCCATTTTCTCTACTTTCCCTTTCTTCTTTTCTTCTCTCCTTCTTCCTTTTCCTGTCCGCTATTCTGGATTTTGCTCTAAAATAAAGTGATATCAAATATAAGAGAAATTGCACTGTCGAACCAGCATCTTATCTATATATAAATTTGGCTTGTCTGTTTGTATCCAATAAACGTCAAAACGGCTGAACCGATTGGGCCCAAATTTTTTGTGAGACATCACGTGACCACAGGGAAGGTTTATGAATGATACAAATTTAAAAAAAATGTTTTTAAAAGTTTTTAATTTTGTAAAAATATTTAAATTCTTGAAATCCGCGATTTTTTTGTTTTTAAATGTAAACAAAAAGAACATGTTCACAATTTAAATAGAAGATGGGCGCGAAGCGCCCTAAAAGCCTAATTCTGATAAATTCTCTTTAAACAAACCAATAATTTGAATCATGCTTTGCTAAAAATATCCCAACAGAGAAGGAAAACTAATTATATTAGAGGATAGGGTTAGAAAAGGTCTTTGATTTTTCAGGCAAATGCTAATTCTTTTACATTCAAGTAATGTAACAGAAGTTAAAGATACTTCTAAAAAGTTTTGGGCTTTGTGGGGAAATTATTATTTTCAAAAGAGGCAAGAAATGATTTTCATGAAAATATATACCCCTGAATACAATGCAATGTTACCTGTAGAACACATAGGAAATATCTAACCTAGCAGCCCGTCTTGAGGCAGCGTTTACTCCACCAAAAGTTGCAAGTAGTAGATTGTTAAATGTTGGACATACTTCTCTGAACCTCTGAGATTTTAAACAATAAAATCTAAATAAGCATTTTAATCCCTCATAATCCTCCACTGTAATGTTCCCAGCTTGAAGCCATTTTTTTAATAATTGAAGTTTTAGTTTCTTAACGTTTTCAGGTGACCATTAATTTTTGAGTTACAGGGTCCTTTCAAGTCATATAGACGAACACTTTTATTTCAATTTGAAAGTCTGCTTTATCTATTGAAAAAAGAGACGATAAAGTGATTAGTTCTCCTAATTTATTGTAATAAATACAAAGTAGTTCCTCACCTCTGCTGTTAAATCAACATAAGATTCATATGTTCCAATGAACAAAAAGAATTCTCTAGGAGAATTGTAATGCATCATTGCTTCCTTCAGAACTTCGAGCTCATTTGGAAACTAGATTATAGTACTTTTTACAATGCAAAAGTCAGGAATCAATTATTATCATCACATTTTAAAAGATAAAAGATTTGGGCATTAGTTTAAAGAGGTTCGATACTAAATTGGGCCAAACAATCAGACAGAAGATGACAATTTAAGTCCCAAGACTTCTAGAATATCAATTTACAGTATTAATTAACTAGACACTCTTAGTTTACAAACTGGAACTTTCAATTTATATGAAAGGTATTTAAGGTTATTTAAGGTTTTTCAATAATTAAATAAGTACTTTTTACTTTGCCTCAAATCAGTATCAATAAAATAAAAACTAATTTTAAACAATTTAAAAAAATGAGCATTATTCCCAAATTAACAAATATATAAATTGCATTATAATAAAGAAAATGTTAAATCTGTGAAAAAAAATAAGTTTATAACCTGGCTAATCATCATTTCTAAATTAACTAAAGTCTCCTCTCCTTTTACCATTCCTTGATGCACTCTGCAGGTGTTGGAAGCTATAATAAAATTTTAAATATTAAATCAAAACCAAGAGGAGCAATTTCAGCAGTACAATTGTTTAAAAAATCTGAGCTTTGGTTTTGGAATCTTATAAACATTTTGGAAATGGATACTAATAAACCGATTCAAAACTTGATGAGGCTTTAAATAAATCCTGAGCTGAAAACTTAAGAATGGTGGATATCGAGATCAATGCTTAATCTTCTCTTTTTCTTAATCTCCAGATAAAATAATACTGGTTCTTCTCTTGTTTTTAATCTCCAGATCAATTTACCGATCGGGATTAAGGATATCCTATTCTAAAGTTTTCAACTCTGTTTTTATTTCTCATTTTATTGGCGAATACGGAGGTTGGTTTTAGGACAATGCCCCCTCACTATACTCATTAGCGGTGGTAAGAAGCCCCCAACCCTTTATTAGAAATCATTTAATACTTTGACAGAATCCTTGGATTTAAAAAAAAACTACCTGGTGCTTCACATTCCGGATCCTTGAGTTTAGAAAATTTTTTGTCGATGTAATTTTTCAATTCCTGTTTTAGCTCCTTCATATCTTTTCTAAGCTCCTTGTGTAGTTTAAACATAAATGTTTTCATGATTTCATCTCTATCCTCTATCTTCTCCTTCTCCTCCTGATAAGTCTTGAATCATTTTTTAAACGTTGGCGGGGATAAAAAAATCTTTATTGAACGATAAATACTATAAAAAATTCCAACTATACCGCACATCTGGGGAAGAGAGGGGGTAAATGTTTATGGTGAAAAAAATAATCCAAAGGTATTAAGTCATTGCCATAAACTCAAAATTTACAACCCCTACATCTTTTAAACCTGATTTGATATTTTGATATTTCAAACTTTTGTTATTAGATCTAAAAGTATTAATATTATGAAATATCTTAAGTCTACTACATTGGTATTCAAAGATTTAGGGATTAAAATATTAGAGGTTGTTGCAAAGACTAAATTCCTTTTATTCAAACTTTGAATTCTCCAATTCTTTTTTTATAGTTTATATATATATTTTTATCTTTTTTCATTCACCTTCTCTGGCTCCAACGGGTTTAGAATTTCAAACTCTAAAATTCATTCAACTTATCTTTGACGGGAAGAAATGAACCAAATCAATTTTAAGAATCTATAATTCAATTTTTTAAATTAAAAATTGTGTTAACAAACAGAGAAGAAAATAAGTTTCCTTTATCACAAAGCTGATGAGGTTCATCTACTTCTAAAATATCTGAAAATAAATAAGTCTTCGTCATACTTTAATAGATGAATGGATCGCCGCAGAATTTCTTCTGGAAAGATTTACTTCCAATCCTTGTAATGTATTTCATCCCATTGAAATATTTTAAATTCACGAGTGATGACATTAAAAACAATTTTCTCTGGAAGAATAAGCTTTGGTCTTTCAAAAATACTATTTTATTTCCTTAAATAGGAGAACTGTTTTATTAATTTGAAGGTATTTAAAGATTACCATTAATCTCAATATTTTCAGTGTTGTCTCCTCCGTGTACATAAACAGTACATGTATCCTCTATAGTAAAAGGAGAGGATACCTCCTCTTTGATGCAAACATTTTCCTCCTCTATTCTAACCTCTTCCTCCAATATTTCTTTCTTCATATTTCCAGCCATGCTCTCTGAAATAATATCAGTAATCAAAAGTTTAAAACATGTAGGTTTTAATGACAACATTAATGAAGAGGTATTTATAAAATCCAACATCCACAAGGAACCATCTTAGAACCTTTATAATTTACCATTTCCATATTAAAATTATATAAACACTAAGCTTTTAAGGTGTTTCGTCCCCATCTTCTATTATAACTTTTAAGTACATGGCTCTATCTGTACGCATCTTTTCTGTGTACAATATAAAACAATAGCACACAAATAAAAAGTTCGAGGGTTTCATAGCATTTTGTTTCGCATTTAAAAAAAAAAAAAAAAAAAACTTTGGGAAATTTTTTTTTGAACTTTGAGCATCCATAAACCTTCCCTGAGGTCATGTGAGGTCCCACACAAAATTTGGGCCTGATCGCTACAGCAGTTTGGACGTTTGTTGGATACAAACATTTTCTCTTTGTATATTTACATTGTAAACCGATGTAAAAAAAAAGTTTGTTGATTTTATAAGAATATTTATTGGATTTCAAAATTTAATAATAATCAAATTTCATAGGAGGCTAACTTTTGAAATTTTGATCATCCATAACCCTTCCCTGGGGCCATGTGAGGTCCCACACCAAATTTGTGACCGATTGGTTGGATACAAACAAACAGAGAGACAGACAAACACAGTATAAATAACATATATTGATTCTAGGCACACAAAATTTGGACCCGATCGGTTCAGCCATTTTGACGTTTATTGGATACAAACAAACAAGACAAACAATGTATATTGTATATACTAGGCTTTCAGGGCGCTTAGCTGCCATCTTCTATTTCAATTGACCGAACATTTCTCTTTGTATATGTACATGGTAAAACAATAAAATTCGCGGATTAAAGTCACATTTCTTACTAGGATATCACAATTCTTCATGTATATTCTTAATATGTCTTTTTAAATTATTTGCGTCCGTTGCAGCATATTCGCATTTATCACACGGATATCTTACTCCTTCATGTTTATTCTTGATATGTCTTCTTAAATTACTTGAGTCCGATGCAGTGTACTCACATTTATCACAAGGATATCTTATGCCTTCATGTTTATTCTCAATATGTCTTTTAAGATGTATTGGTCTAGTTGAGGCGAATTCACATCTATCACAAGAATATCTCACTCCTTCATGTTTACTTTCGATATGTGTTCTGAGATCATATACTGTTGTTGCAGCATACTCACATTTATCACAAAGATATCTCACTCGTTCATGTTTGATCTTTTTATGTTTGTTGACATTACCCACTTTGGTTGCTGTGTACTCACATTGATCACAGGAATAACTTAATTCCTTAACTTTCTTATGTTTCTGAGAGAAATGTCTTTTTAAATCTCTTTTAATAGATGTGGCGAACTCACATTTATCACAAGAATATTTCCTTTCTCCTAATTTCCTCTTTATGTTTCTCCCTGCCAATCTTAGAGAATTGTCTTCATCTAAATAAATGAAACAAGTAAAAACAGATTTGATTAAAATTATGAATCTAAGTCTGATTTATGGAAGTCTATCAACTGAATTCTACGGAATAATGGTTAACTTTTTGTTTTTAACATCTTTATATTTAAATACAGACTGTCCTACGAAACTTGAAAGTAGAAAGACGGCATTCATTCGTAAACCAAATGTTAGACACAAAATTTTAGATTCAAGTCACAAAATTTCCCTAGTCATGGCACTTTTAACTTTTTATTGAAAGAAATCAACTAGTTAAACATTTGCAAAGATGAAAAATTAATATTAATGATTGCTTTGGATATTTGAGTTGTTGGTCTTACCTTTAGTTTCAATAATTTCCACCTTTACATCTTCCTCCTTTATATAAACAGTACATGTATCCTCTACAGTAGAGGATGAACGGGTATCTTCTGGAACCTCTTCTTTAATCTTAATGTTTTTCATTTCCATTTCCTCCTTTATGATTCCAGCCATTCTTTCTGAAATTGTCATTATAGTGTTTACAAAATAGAGCTTTTTAATAATCTAAATGTACGGCTAACGTGCAAGATATTAGAATTTTTTACATCTTAAATTTTTACAAAAAATAGTATTAAAATCAACTTACGTAATCCGCGAATCTTGGAAAGTAAAAACCGCACATCAGATAAAAAACATGACAAATGGAAAGCCTCAGTTAAAAAGTGAATATACGTCAATAGTAGACATTTAATTAAAGATGAACAAGAGGAAGAACATTAGTTCAAAAACGATGATAACGAATTAAAGGAAGTGCACCTATTACTTATTTTAACCCCCTGAGGCTGGAGAAAACATTAAAAAAAAGTCATTAATAAGAACACACTACTCCTACATGAAGAAGAGAAAGTACGACTGGATGCTGCAGTCCTTTCCCAGGATCACTATGAACATCAAGTAAGGCCCCAATAATTGTAGAGCGGGTAAGTGCTTTCATATCAAATATTAAAATTAATTATAATTTAAAAAAAAAACAGAATCCCAGTTAACAGTAAAAAATGGGAAAAAAGGGGAAAGATTTAAACGTATAACACATAATAATGATATGATAGCGAAAGGAATAAAATTATTGAATACATTGTACTGATTATACAAGGTTCTTCTGAGAATTAGGCAGTGAAGAATGGTAATTTTGCAACGTTTTACGCCTCTTAATGATTCACAAGTCGATGAAATGAAATAGTATCTTTAATGTCTTTTCATAAGGTGTTTAACTTGTTTAAGCTTACTCTCAAAATAGATTTTAAATCACGTTCACGAGTTGCAGCGTGGTCATATTTATTTCAGGGAAATAACAGTCCTTTATGATTACTTGAATTATGTTGTTTAAGATAGCTTAGGCAAGTTGCTACGTACTCACATTTATTACACGGATATTTCACTTGTGTTTAATCTCTTTATGTCTTTTAAGATCATTTAGCTTTAGTTGCAGCGTAACCACAATTATCACAAGGATATCTCACTCCTTCGTGTTAATTCTTTATACTATTATTGAGAGTAATAATTGATGTTTCTGCGTACTCACATTTAACGCAAGGATATCTCACTCCTTCATGTTTATTTTTAATATGTTCTCTGAGACGACTTGAAGTGGTCGTAAAATACTCGCATTTATCACAAGGATATCTCACTCCTTCGTGTGTTTTCTTGATGTGTTCTCTAAAATGACTTCGGCTGGCTGCAGAGAACTCACATTTATCACAAAAATATCTCCTACCTTCGTGTTTAATCTCAATATGTTCTCGGAGATGACTTCGTCTGGTTGCAAAATACTCACATTTATCACAAGGATATCTCACTCCGTCGTGTTTATTTTTGATGTGTTCTCTGAGATGATTTCGACTGGTTGTAGAAAAATTACATTTATCACATGGATTTCTTACTCCTTCATGTTTACTCTTAATATGATCTCTGAGATGATTCGGCCTAGTTGCAGAATACTCACATTTATCACATGGATATTCACTTCTTCTAGTTTCCTCTTCTTGGTTATCTTTGATCCAACCAGCAGAGGATCCTCTTCATTGAGAACTATTTCATCTAAAATACACATTTTATTTATTAGTATATGTATACTTGATAATATAAGAGAGCAGAAGAAATCATGTTTAAGCATTACATTATAAAAACATGAAATGTATCCTCTACAGTAGATCCAGTAGAGGATGGAAAGATTTCTTCCTGAATCTCTTCTTTAATCTAAATATTCTCCATCTTTATTTCCTCCTGAAAGTTTCCGGCCATTCTCTCAGCAAGAAGAAATAATTAAATTGTTTAACAATAATATTAATAATTAGTATTTACTTCATTTTTGTTTCCTTGTCTCAATATTTCCGGCCATTCTCTCTGAAATGATTAAAAAATATTCACACAAAAAAATCATTCACTGAAGCATGGTTCAGAAGAATAAAATAATAAAATAAAGTGATAAGTTTAGAAATCCCAGAGAAATATAACCTTGGAGATCAGAAAGTAAAAAAAAAATAGTTTTCTGATAAAGTAGATTCACCTATATTGTTCAGGTGGGCCTGCCGTACCAAATATCATAGTTTTAATTTTCCAACATAAAGTTTGTTTTGGAAAATGTGAAATTTTATATGAATATTTTAAGTACATAAGAAAATCCGCGAAAGTATGCAATTTTAGACATGCTCTTTGAATTTTCCTAAATACTATTCATAAATCATCAGATATTTTCCGTTAAGACCCATGAGTTGTTTATATTGTAAATGAAGCATATAATTTAATATAAGACCGTGTCAAAAGATGCTATCCTGTTTGAACTAGTGTTCATTTGAACTATTGTTCGGTTGAACTACTGCACGTGGTACCACGAGAGTAGTTAAAAAAACAATAGTTCTAACGAGTTTGTTTCATGCTCATTTGAACTATAATTTTGTTCATTTGAACTATTAACAAATGACCCATAAAAATTATTTAAAATTGAACATCAAAATAGTTCAATTGAACAAAAAATTTGTTCAACTGAACAAAAAATTTATTCAAATAAAAAAATTCAAATAAGCATGAAATATAGTTTTAGTAAAGGAACTACACAATTTTAGTATATTTTTGGTTCATTTGAACATTTTTATGTTTGCATTTGGACTCATAGCCGCAGCGCTCGGCCCCCTAGCCTGACTTAGAAGCAGCACTCTGTCCAGAAATTGTCTTATCCTAACCTAATCCCACATATCAGCTATCACTTGCCTGTCCTAGCTGCAGCGCTCGGTCCACTAGTCTGTCCTTGCTGCAGCCCTCCGCCCCTAGTCTATCATTTTTGCAGCGCTTGGCCCCCTAGCCTGTCCTAGCTGCAGCGCGAGGCCTCTTAACCTTTCCTAACCGCAGCACGTGTTCCAGAAATTGTTTTAACCTAACCTAACCAGACATATCGGCTATCACTTTGTCAATTTCATAAATGTGGCCGCATGTGATCGGCCCAGAAAATGTATTAACCTAACCTAACCCACATTTGAACTATTCTTTTGTTTTTCCCCAATTTCATTTGAACTATTTTTTGTTCATTTTAACTTTTTATGTTCCTTTTAACTTTTTATGTTCCTTTTAACTATTTTTTTGTTCATTTTCACTATATCTGTGTACTATTTTGAACTATTATTTGTTCATATGAGCTATTTAATTTGAAATATTTTTATGTTCATCGAACTACAGTCATAACAGAAAGACCCGGAATTAATTCACAGTTAATCAGACGTAAATATTTCTGGTAATTCAAAAGCATGATACAGACAGACCACATTTTGGAATTGGCGGGACAGGGCTATTTTGTGATCATCGTTTCATCAAGCGCAATTGTAAAATTCGATTGTACAGTCAGTCGTCTGATTAATTATAAATTAATTCCATGTCTTTCTTTCTGGTTACCACTGTATTTCATTTGAACTATTTTTTTTTGTTGTTTTGAACTATTTTTTATGTTCAATGAACTATTTCATTTGGACTATTTTTACGGTTATTTGAACTAATTTTTATGTTCATTTGATCTATTTTTGTAAATTCATTTGAAAAATTTCTTTGTTTGTATAATATCTTTTATTGTTTGACCTAAAAATTGATCATGAAATCCCAAAATTTTAAACAGGATATATGTCAGTAGTTGAAATAAACAATAGTTCAAACGAACAATAGTTCAAACGACCAATAGTTCAAACGACCAATTTTCAAACGACTAATAGTTCAAACGAACAAAAATTCAAACGATAAATAGTTCAAACGACCAATGTTCAAACGACTAATAGTTCAAACGAACAATAATTCAAACGACAAATAGTTCAGGACTAATAGTTCAAAAGGCGGTAGTTCAAACGAACAATAGTTCAAACAGGTATCCACCGTGTGAAAAGCCAGAAACTAAAGACCATAATATTAGTCACAGGATATGTCTTAAAAATGTGGATTGGTTATTGCATTATTTCATATCTATCAGAGGGATACTTGGTTCCTCAAACTTAGTGTTTAATCTCAATATGTTTCTTAAGATGAGATAATGTCGCTGATGTAAACTCACATTTATCACATAAGAACTTTACTCCTTTATGTTTTCTATCACAATGCCTTTTAAGGTTTTTAGCTATAGTTGCTGTGTATTCGCATTCATGACAGGAGTATCTTCCTACTTCGTGTTTATACTTTGTATGTTGTTTAAGATCACTTGCTGTAGTTGCAGCATATTCACATTTATTACAAGGATGCCTCAGTCCTTCATGAATAAAACCAATATGTTGTCTGAGGTGTTTTTCTGTACCTGCAGTGTACTCACATTCATCACAAGAATATCTCACTCTTTGATCATGTTTATTCTCAATATGTGTTTTAAGATGCCAAGATGTAGTGGCCACGTACTCACATTTTTCGCAAGGATATCTCACCCCTTTATGCTTAGTCTCAATGTGATATCTGAGGCTTCTTGCAGTAAGTGTAGTGTACTCACATTTATCACAAGAGTATCCCGATATTTCTTTTTTCATAATCTTGATTCTCTTTGAGTCAGATTTAAAATGAATTATATTTCTGTGATTCTTTAAGTTAATCAATGAATCCGCTTCCACCTTGCACAAATCACATGGAAATACTTGATTTTCATCCTGCTTACTTGCAATGTGTTTCATCAAGTTTGAACGGTTGGTAGTAGAATATTCACATTCATCACAGGAGTATTGAGGTTCAGATGAGGAAGGATAATCATTGCTTGCAGATTTTTTTGCTAAAAGTAAAAGATGTATAATTTATTTATTTATTCTTCCACGGCGTTTAATTCTTCATATACAGAGATACAGGGTATCCCACGAAACATGACAGTTGGTGAAGAGTTTTGAATGTCTTCTTCCATGTACTGTATTACATATTAAAGACTTT